CGAAGTAATGCATATAATTAGACATTTATATACATACATACAGTTGGTTTTTTTAAAATTATTTGAATAATTTCTGCAAAAGAAACCACCCGGAAATCTTAGCCCCGGAGTGACTTAAATGCCGTAAATCCCCCCGGAAGTTAAAAAAAAAAAGAAGGCGGGATTATTTCAGTTCCACCCTCTTTTAGTTTGTATATTCTTGCAATTTGACTGGAAATGTGGATACTTTTTTTTTACTCCTTTTTTTTTAACTCACGTGAGACAAACAAGCCACTCGAGTATTGATCCTTTCAAAGTTTCAATTATTTAGAATGTAAATTGCAAAATTACCCACGTGTGTACTTTTCACTTTGAAATAGAATAAAAAAAATAATAAACATAGAGACAAAATATGATAGAAAGGCTTTTACCGTGAAACCACAAGTAAAAAGTGCGAAAGTAAAGTACAATAATTTTATTTTCTATTGTCTGAAAATAAGTATAAAGGCGAGAAAAAAAAGCAAGTAAAATAAAAAAAAATATAAAATAGTTTGCCATTTTTCCGGTATGTACTTCCGGTACATTTATTATAATAATCTATCGGCGGCGGTTTATAAATTGCGGTCGATTATTTTTCGCAGAGACCGAGCGTTGTTGAGAATGAGAAAGAGAAAGATAAATAACGCGAGTTAAAATAAAATAATAAAAAATAAAAGGAACATAAGCTGAGATCGGTGCGTTAGGTCACGTTGATCCCTATCGTCATTTTAATAACCGGTTGTACGCCCACAACGAATGCATTTCAGACGACATAAACGCCCGTAAGATAGTCAGCTTGTGATAGGCCGTCTGGCTGCACGGCTCGACGGCTTTATATAGCCGCATCCTTTGCGTACATAGTAAAAGGGTACACACTCGCTGATCATCATTTTTATCTCTATTTCCTTTCTATTAATTGCCAAAGGTAAATTCAATCCAATTAAATATAATAATTCTGATTTTATCCCGTTCGATAACCTTCGTTTACTCACTGACATAACAGAGCTGTTGTTTTTCCAATGTGGGGGGCTAAAAATTGATATAGTGGATGGTAATAAGCATTTTTTCCTCAGAAGTCGCTTCTCAGATTTTAAATAGTGATTTTGCCGATAAAAATTTGCTAATTATTTCCATTGTTTATTAATATTGTAATTTGGGAATAAAAAATTGGAAAAATATTGTGTTTTATTATTAAATTAAAGGTAAGTAAAATAATAATAAAAACTAATTTTTTTACAAGGACAAAAATCTGGCGTCCAATTTTACTAAAAGAAAAATTTTCTCTTAAATAAAATAAATTTTTAATGCAAGAGTTGATAAAAAAAAAAACGACTAATATTTGATTAATAATTAACTTAGTTATTTTCGCAATTAGGTCATGATTGATGGATAACGCGGATAATATATAATCCCCTTATTTATCCATTTAATGACGGTTCATGTATACATACGCACGAGATATAATTACTTGGCCGATCAAACTGTCAAGACGGACAAACTTTGATTATGTGGATAGGCTTTCAATATTATACGCTTAGATTCTAAGCTGTTTACTGAACTTTGCTTATCCATCCAAAGTATATTTATATATTTTTTCCACAGACTATTAACTCAATAATTTAATAAGCAAAGTTTTATATATTTTTTGCTTATAATCCCGCTGTGTTTTCAGAAAACAAATGTATATCATTTTATATCTCCGCGGTGATTTGTAAAAGAAAGCAATTTATGACGGAAACAAAAAAATATTATAAAGGTAACGAAAAAAGTCATGATGAAATTCCTCGTTATGAAAGCGGTAGATAATGCACTTTTTTCAGTAGACAAAATAAAGAGCGTGCAAGATTGAGGATGAACCGGTGGAGAAATTTACACATTTTACGCGAACCCTCATTAGAGTTTTATGACACCGGGATATGATAGTGTATTAGGTAGTTAGTTATAGTAAATGTAAAAAAATTTGATACTTTTTTTCAAGCAATTCAGTTGCTCATAACATAAATATCTTTATTTTTTTTTTTTAAGGTATCTGGGTATTTACATTAAATTTATTCCAAATCAGTCAATTATTGCAATCTATTGGTATGATTACATTACAGTTACCCGACAAGCCCGAGTAATAGCTTCACAATCGCTCTTATCCGCTATTCTTATTGCTATATTAAATACAAAGTAAAATATCCGTGATATATTGGTCTGCAATTAAATTACACTCCAAGATCCTTAGAGTAGCTCACGCCTAATCGCAAAAAAATCAACTTGTGATTGTGGTTACAGAAGCCATGCTCTTGAACTTTGAATAAGTAATTTAAATTACCATTACAATCAGCACTCGCTCTTTTTATTAACTTTATAATTTATATGCATTCTAACTATTCAAAGAGTGTGATAATAACAGTACAGTAATCTTTTTTCATATCAAAAAAATTACATGAATAATAAATTAATCTTATCGAAAAATACATAATTAGTCGAGATAAAAGAATTTGTTTTTCGCAAGAGTAGCTACCAAGTTTTGATTTTTATCTTTAATTTAATATTGAACTCAAATAAAATTTCACAACTCCAAAATATTATCGGAAGAAATGATTAAGTCTTTTTTATCTGCGGTAAGTATTATATATTTTATTATCAATTATTAATAAATAAATGAGTAAATAATGTTATTGAATGCACATGCGCAACGTTTTCTCGTAGCGATGCTTATAACGCAGCAGTAAAAAAGCATACCCATCTCCCCTCGATAGCTCAGTTGGTAGAGCGGTGGACTGTAGTTGGGAATTTAAAGAGTAATCCATAGGTCGCTGGTTCAAATCCGGCTCGAGGGAATTTTTTTTTTCCTTTTTTTTTTTACTCCATATTAAGTAAGAGCGTGACAATAGTTTATTTGTGGATAAAATTTTTTTTCTAGTCAGAAAATAGCAAAATTTTTCAAAAGTTCCGACATGAGGACAAATGCAATAGTTAGATTTCTATGAAATTAAATATACTAAAGAATTATTATTAAAATATTGAGTTCGTCTACAAAAATCATTCTCTTTTAAGATATTATATTTTAAATATTTCAAGTTTGTTTTTTATTTTGAAAATGAAAGTTTTCCTTTTTGTGTAACATTTGGTGAACACATTGTCACCCTTGAAAAAGGTTTTATTTTATGATTTCCGAGAAGTATAGACTAAAGAATAAAGTACTCGAACTACAAGTCATAAAACTAGATACAATTCGAGCATTGTATAGACTGTATAAACACTAAATATTACAAGATGTAAAAGGACAACTGTGGTATAACAGATGTAAGCAATTCTCTCTGATCCTTGTTGTTGTTCAAACACACTTCCAAAACTCTATTTTAATAGAAGACAATCAGTTATTTAAAAGATACACCGTTACTTATATCCATAACCCCAACAATTATTCAAGCAAAAAAATTGCAGAACACTCAAAATAATTGTAATGATTCCAATTATTACAATTACCGCTCATTAAGATTTATGATGACATGAATCTCGTTGATACAATTAATTAAAATGTTTAAATAATTTCATTGCGGTTATAAGATATTTAAGACAAAAAAATCCCTACATCAACTGTAATATATACGACATTTATTTGCCCACCCAGAATCAGAAGAATGAGAGACATCTGCTTCAAAGACTATAAAATGCTTCAGCTTGTTTCTTTAAATACTTTTTCGATCATTAATTTCTAATCAGTCACTAATTATTTCTCAATATAAAACTTTAAACACTCGATACTATAAAAATCATATCTAATCTGAGTATTCCAATTAAAAAGCTATAAATGTTTCACGTTTTCAATCGCGATTCATACATTTATACATACCTAAAGAAATTGAGAAAAAAGAACAATTATTGAAGAAATGTAATTGGCGTAACCACGCAGTTTGTTTAAAAATTATAATTATAATCGTTCAGTTGGCTGGTTTAAGCAAATAAACAAAGTTATGAACAATAATTACACTGAAGAAATCGACACAATTACAAACCATAAATAAACTATCACATTTCCCTAATAAGAATAATAATTCTTTAAATTTTAATAACTTAACCGGTTTTTTAACTCGGAAAAAATGTATTTTTATTGTTGTATCAACAAAATAGAATACTCCCACGAGAACATAACGACAAAGGGCTTAGTATAGGTCGACATCCGTGATGGAGCTAAGCAGCTTGAGGGTCGTGAAGAAAAAAAACAATCCTATTTCTTGTGAGAAATATCAACTCCAGACTACACTACCCATACCACCACAAACTATTGTAAATTCTGGTCTATTTATACCTAGCCTGACATGGTATAGTTACAATGGTTGCAATATCTGTAGCTATACAATATAAAACAACACTGTATAAAATAAAATAGATAAGCATTTGTGTTTTGGCTGACACAGCCCATTCACAATACTTCAATACATTTATATACTCTACTCTAGATTTCGCTCCGGACAGCACAATAAGGCCAATTACTCTAATTGTAGTTCAACCCGGTGGATAATACGAAAGCTCTCAGCAACCAACCACGGGCCAGTAACAGCCGGAAGTTTTAAATAAACGGAGCAATAAAATCGTATTTTTACACGCCTAATACATTTCTTCCGTTTATTTTTCCCCGATTCATTGCAATTACAATCAAATTAACGACTATTGACATCATCATTACTCTGTGATGATATAGTACCCTCGTTAGTCATGTAATTACTCAATTTTTTATAAAACAAACTCATTATCTGTTCTTGTCAGTTATATTGGAGCGTCTTTAAGCCATGACCAAGCGGCCGAAATAGCTCAGTTGGGAGAGCGTTAGACTGAAGATCTAAATGTCCCCGGTTCAATCCCGGGTTTCGGCAAAACTTTTGCCCTTTTTGCATTTCACAGACCCACATTATGCCGAATTTATCATCAACAATCATAAATACATTTATTTATTTTAATATAAATCATTAATTATAGTTATCAACTACTATCTAGTGCGTAAGACGAATGTATGAGTCACCAAACTTATCAAACTTTTTTTTTCGACCTTCCATCCTGGAGCTCGGAGGTATCAGACGTTCCAGCGAGCCATCAAACGAAGATCTGCTTGATGTCTGTTGTAAAACGGAGCGCAGCTCCACTCCAGCGCCAGGTGGAGAAGAATAATCTTGCGTCACTAGTGTCATTACGCAACACAGCACGAAGAACAGCAGACTCACTATAATTACCGTCTTTAGATAAGTAGTTAAGGAAAACTAGATAAGATAACTCGGAAAAATATTTTATTGGTAAAAAAATTTTTTTTCTTTTTCAGGTACAAGTTAACTCTATAGTTTCATGAATTTTTCCTTTTTCTCAAGCGCTGTACAGAGTATGCTGGTGTTTATATATGTTCAAATGGAGCGCGAGTGCAAGGACGGTTCCGTAGTGTAGCGGCATCACATTGGACTTTGAATCCAATAACCCGAGTTCGAATCTCGGCGGGACCTGATTTTTTTTTTCTATTCTAAACTAATTATTAAACGACTCTAATATTGACTGTTTTGTACACTAAAAAAAAAATTAACTTGAATCAAGAGAAAAATTTTTGAACCAAAAAAATAATTTTGAAGAATTTTATTTATAACACCTTCAAGTGTTTCATTATAAACACTTATTAGCTACTGAGCGTTCCGATCTCTAAGTGTGTATTCTGCATTATTTTGACCAAGTGCAATTTAGTTGTTTGTTATCCTGTGCAATATGATGTAATACTAGAAGTAGACTGTTTTTGTTTCAGCATTCATTATTAATTTTGATTAATTAAAATTGACGTTGAGAGACCTATTAATATTAATATTAACATTATAAAAACCTACTCTAACTGTATGGGCACTTTTTGATTTAGATTTTGATATTAATTTGATTTGTACTTAATTTTAAGATATTATGTATGCTCTGTATATGCTTCTGGCCGTTAGAGAACTACGTCCTACGGCCTTTTCAATAAATTACAATTAGAATTACCTCGAATCAAGACAAAAAATTCTCGAATCGATTTTCATAGTGGGAAGTTAAAAAAATAACTTTGGCTAATTGAAAAAAATAATTTTTTCAATATTAATATAGTCTCTAACACTAACTCTGGACTTTGGATCCAAGTTTAAGTACCGTTGAAACGTAAGTGACGATAACTACTTATCTTTTTATAAATTTCCTACCATTTATATAATTAAAAGGTGTAATTATTAAAAGGATACAAGGATGACGAGACTTGTCGTTGAATAGCCGGTGTTTGTTACACGTGAGAATGGTGACGTTTTGAAATTGCACATATGAATCGACTCAGTAGATGATTCTAAGCTGTCAATTTGATGAGTACCCCATCCTTCATTGCAAATGCACATTCCAGTAACGTTGTCCTGGCGTCCATTATGGCAAATAATATTCTAAAAAAAATAATTAAACAAAATAAACACACATTCCTCTCGTAATTAGTATTTTCATAGCATGCTTGTACAGGCAACTTATAATTAAAGATAACATTTGATAAAATATTAAAACCAACTTAAATATTTAACTCTACTCACTTCAGTCTTCGCTTTTTCTACAATATTATGCTCCAGATCTCAAAAAAAATTTTTTTACACTAAAAGTTAAACCGATAAGAATAAAGTACAGACTTACCATATAAAAAAAAAAAGAATTTTAGTGATTAGAGTGAAAATAATAACACGTTTTTATTTCCATAATAATAATTAACTTAATTTTTTTTTAAACGACCGAATTAACTCGACATTCATGCCAAGAAAATATTTAAAGTGAATGTTTTGAGATAGGTTAAAAGAACAAAGCTTTTGAAAAAGTTTTATTTATCAGCAAGCTCGCTCAACTCTATCTGTCATAATTAAACCGCCGTAAATTATATTATAAAAGTGTAACGTTACGTTCGTGGTGATATTGGCTCTCTTAACTTGTTATATTTTCCTCTTAAAGTCTACAATAAACTTAAATGCGCGTGGTTACTTATAAAGCAGTAAATATAAACCACGCAAACTCCCGCGAGATTATTAAATTTGATTAACAAACATATGTGATATTTATTCAGCCAAATGAGAATAACTTTCAAATAAATAGCTGCTGTCAATAATGTCTTAATCAAGAGTAGAGGCAATGCGAGTAAAAGTGCAAGTATAAAATTACCTGCAACTAACCAGAGCAAGTAACGAATGAAAAATAACAAGGAAAAGTAACCTGATAATCGAGGCGTTGAAATAAAATTGTTGTGTGTCATAAATTAAATTGAATAAATCGTGGTGTGGTGGTTGATGCTGGTTTTACTGAAGTTTATGTTGTATTATACGTTAATGTGGTCCTTTTAAGAGTCGTATAAAGCAATATAGACCCAAGCACAGCTGGTATAGGGCACATTGGCAAGAGTAGCACGCTACATCGCATGCCAGTTGCGTATATCACGCTAAAACAAAACCAAGAACGATTCCCGACGCATTACGCATTAGCACCTATCCCTCTGGAACGACTATGCATGTTTATTAAATTTATCTTCCGGTGAATTTATACTTCTGCTAATAAAACCGATCACCAGGCCGCTGTTTAATGAAGAAAAGCAAGATAGAAAATATTTATTCACTCACCGAATCAGCAGCTTCGCCGGAATCAGGCACCCAGACGACCACCGGCTGACATCTTCGCAAGCTTTTGTTGAAGAAGTTCCTCTTCCCGCTGTACTTGATAAGACACTTGACCGGTTGGCAGGAGTCCAGGGAATCTTCGTCGACGCTTGAGCATCTTTTAACTTCGTTTGCTTCATAATATCCTACGAGAAATAAATTTTTTTTTCAGTCAACACAATGTTTTATTTTATAAAATAAATTGTACTAGCAACCTTGAAGTCAATATGTGACTGCCGTGACTTATGAACTATATAAATAAAATTTTGCTTTATTAAATAGTGATTTTTGTTAAATTGCACTGTACTTTTTTAACTATTTATGTTTTTAAAGATATAAGCTCATCCCGATGTTACACTCATCAAGAGCTTTCATTTGAGTACCCACATGCATTTTGATATATTTTTCATATATATATATATATAAATATATTATGAAAAATTGATGTAGGTACTCAAATGAAAGGTCTCGATGAGTGTAACATCGGGATGAGTTTATATCTTTTAAAATGTCAATAGTTCACGAGATATAAGGTCATTTTTTAATTATGTATCTAGAGATAGAGCATTTTCGAATGCAGCCTAAATACTTGTCATCATAAATTGACTATTGATGAGAATGATATGAAACATTAAAAAAGCACAAATTCAAGTCAAGACCTTTGCAATGACACTAAATTTGACTAAAAAAAAACTATTTTATCATATAAGAACACTGGCTACAAAATTTTGCTTATTCTCTTAATAATATAGATTTTAAAAAAATTTAATGGAGTAATTATTGACCTTTAAGAATATCAGGAACACTTTGGTTGGAGACATAGGTATCAAATGAAATTTTCTGTCTCAGCAGATTGGAACTACCATCGGTGTTGTAGGTGATGCCAATCTCACACTCACCTCTTCGGTCATGAAGATACTGAAAAATGTATTTACGATGTATGTTAGCTGGTAATAAAACTAAATCAGATATATATGTATTGCAATAATGATGAAAATTAAAGAGAAATTATTATAACGTCCCCTCAGGGATACGTGCTTGCGATTGTCCGTATGATCAACAAGATAGGGCAAAGAGAGTCATTATAAAAGAACCCAGACGATATATCGCTGATAAATATAAAAAAAATTTTTTTTTGCATAGTTTACTTGCAGATGTTATAGACACTGAGGTAAAATAAAGATTTTAATTGCTTTTGCTTTATAAGTTAATTATCGAGCATAACTAGTGTGCAAGTCACAAACGGTAACGATATGAAACAATAAATTCAACCGGACTTGTACAACTTAATTAAAGATTTAACATTGGTCACCAGTCAAAGCCACTGCATCTTGGGTTGGATCAGCCAGTTGGGGTAGAGGTAGCTATAGCAATAGACCCAGGAGAAAAGGGTGCTCGAGAAGGAGCGGAGAGAGAAAGAGAGAGGACTTGGGTTTGAAAAAAAAAAAAAAAAATAAATAAACAGTCATAAATCATGATGGCGGCAAGAAGCGCGCTCGTGTGAGTGGCTGAATGTTTAAACCCGCGGTCCCGCGAGAGTGACGGTGCTTGCTAGCAGTGGTGTTTAGTGATAATATGTTTGGAGCACATGGTGGTGGCAGAAATACACTGTCGAGTATGCTGGTTGGTGCATGTCGGCTCCGCCCCGCTAAGATCACGATAACAACTGCTATTATATTACTCCCACGCGACAACCGTACTGTGCTCTAGCCCCCACATAAAAGCAGCTACGAGGACATCGCCGAAACTGCCACGACAAGGCGGGTACTCTTGGTTGAATTTGGTGAATTCGTTCTTGTCTTATCAATCCATCGACAGTTAAGTCTGATGCACTTCACGTAATGTAATGGGTATCAGGCGTCTTGATCCCCCGACAAAATATCCCAAAAAAAATATCCCCGGACAAAATATTCCTATGACAAAAAAACCCCGACAAGTTATCCTTCGAATTCGTTATAGTTTTGGATAATTTTAATTAAAAAAAAAATTATTAAAGAGAACAATGATAAAAGGGCACACCACGGTAACCAGTGTATGTGTTGGTCTAATGTCTAATAAACACACACAAAAACCATGTTAAAAGGACGGAACAATATTATACCCGGGGATATTTTGTCGGGGGATCAAGAATCATGGAACCAAAATATTGAACCAAGAATACCATTTTAAAGTAAATTATTTTCTCGACTCAAGAAATTATTCTTGATTTAAGTAAATTATTCTTGACTCTAAAATTTATTCTCTTGACTCAAGAAAATAACTTTCTTTAAAATGGTATATTTGGTTCAAGATTTTGGCTCTTGAGTCAAATTAATTTTTTTATCAGTGCACTAATAGAGAGATTTGTTTATAGTTAAAAAAATTTGTTAATATTTGAAAACTCATTTATTAGAGACCACTTTTTAGTCTTTAAAAAATATTTCTTAGCATTAAAAGATTTATGAATATTTAATAAATGAATATCAGATTTATCAAATACAAATAAATCATTTTAACCACTAAGAAATATTTGTTTAATACTAAAAAGTGGTCTCTAATAAATGATTTAACTATTAACGAATATTTCTTAATACAAATAAATCCTTCTATCAGTGTATGATTGTCATCAAAGTATACTTTTAAGATACAGTAAAAGACTTCAAAATTTTGACTCACCAAAGTTGGCCATACCAGAGTTACGTTGCTCTTCCCGGGCGGTAGGATTCCCACGTGGTCTCCAATCAATCGGATGTGCTGCAATTATTTAAAAACAACATCGGAAGTTATTACCATCATCATCATCATTTTAAATTGATAGTAAATAACAGTATCAGTTGTTAACAACAGTTAAATAATAATTAATATAATACCCAGGTTGTGTTTTTAAAAAAGCGGATGTTTCTTTAGATCACTTACCTCACAGTCTACATCCTCTGGTGTAATAATTTCACAGCAATTGATCATTTGGCTTCGAACTACCACCGGACGATTGGCTCTATTATTCAGCTGAACGTCTGCAATAAAATATCCAAATAATCCAGAGTGTCATTATAACAAATGACAAAAATAAATCAAGCACATTAAACACAAGCACGATAAATAAAATAAACCAAAAATGATTTACAGAGCACAAATATATTTAAAAGAAGAAACGTTTGTCTTGCTAGCACGCTCGGCAGGAAGCAACTAATCCGTCGGAGTCTCGATTCTCATTCTTATTACACATTCAGATATCCCCGAATTAAGACCGGGTTTAAATTATTTGAACGTTGCTGCGATGAGCCCGGTGATTGAGTGACGGACATGCGTCCTATCTGGTATAAAACAGAGCACCGATGGACAATAATTACACAACGATGTATAAAACCCGGCAATCTCCCGGTGGATCGCATCACGGAGCCTAAACATCACCTGCTGCTGTCATTCGAAACGTATAAGGCGCCTTATACCCGGCAAAAAGGCTAACATTTAATCCAACAAAGCTACCAGGAATTAAATGCACCGGTACCTTCTGCCGCTGCAGAAGTAAAGAGGCATCTCAGGAATGTCCCGACACCAACATCATTCCCGTAGATCATTCAATTGAGCATTACCATCACATGCTTTTCTTTCTCTGGAATACTTTTCACTCATATCACATGTGATAACTGTCTCAGTAGAGTTACGTTCATACCACAATTTAACCCAGCAGCTGTCGTACAGATTCCATCTAAGACTTATGATCGTCCTTGCCACATTCTTAACAAATATGGACTATAACTGGGACTTTTGCTTGCTTTGCGTTCCTTAATAATTTTAATGGTTAATTAATTAATTATATCCATAATTTTATGTATAGAAAAAAAAATTAATTTAAATCAAGAAAATAATTTTGAAAAAAGTTAGCTTCTTGATTTGAGTAGAAAAATTCTTTAACTAAGAAAGATTTCTTAATTTTACTCAATTCAAAAATTTTTTTTCTTGATTCAAGACAATAAAATGTATAATTGCCCTAAAAAATTTTAAAACAACACTTGTTATAAATAAAAATTTATGCCTACACACACATTGACAATGCTAAAAATAATTCACGAACTGCTTTGGATACTACGATAATCTTATTATATGACACATGTGATTTAGTGCATACGGTTTGAGGAACGAAACAAAACTGGGCTGTTAGGACTGTTGTGATGGCAATGCTACAATGTTTCAGCTACAATCCATAGCCGAGCTATCAGTCACAGGATACCAAGTCGGATTGCGTGTATAGTATTGTACAGACTGGTATTCCGTGTGCGTCGTGATCGAAGCTTCTTCTGGTGGTGATGTTCGTGATTGTCGTGATCTCCGTGACGTGTCCATACACACGACCTTACTCCTCGTTGTCTGCTCTGATACACACAACACCTAGTCATTTTACTACTATGCTCGAGGATGTCATTCATTCATTCATTCATCCATCCATCCATCAGACCCGGTGCAGTCAACATTCATCATTCTCTCATCGTGGGATCAATTTTATTTAGATATTCAATTTTTACTTACAGAAAGTCATTCCGGTGTCTAGACGCTTGATAGGATAAATCCCGGAGTCCTGGAAGAGGAGAAATTATTTTATGACATTAAACTGTCACCTGACCAATTTTTGAATTTTATTTAACAATTAAATTCATTGAAAAAAATTGCATTTTCTATTTTTTTTTCAATTTCTAGATGTCAATTTTTATTTCTTATTTTTTTTTGCCATAATTTATTTGATAACAAAAATTATCAAATAATTTTTCAATTAATTATTTATTAATTAAATTAATTATAAAAAATTATTTTTAAAAAATTGCATTTTTTATTTTTTAACAAAAATTATAAAAATTATCAAATAATTTTTTATTAATTAAATTAATAAATTATTTAAATTAATTTTCATAATTATTTTAGACATTGAAGAATTAGAATTAGATTAAATAGCAGAGATAGTAATAGTGATATTTTTTTTTTTTTAAATTGGTATTAGGATTTATAAGAGTCAAGTCGAGATTGCTTTACCAGAAAAACTAAAGCATTACAGCACAGTATAAACAGATTCGTAACACACCGGGTATAGACCAACAGAATACAGAATAAATATAAGCAAGAGCAACAACTACGTAGGCCAATTTACGTGTCAGCTTGTCAGGGTGTAATTTAACTGATAGAAGGCCCCAGCGAAACGTCAGCGAGACACAAAAGCGTCGAGACTTAGTGTTTTTATTTTTTTAAACTAAAACGAGAACTCAGAAAAGATAATTGCGACCGAAAAAAGCCGCTCGATTTCGAAATATCGGCATTTTAATGCCAAAGAATAACACCAGGTCTCTGAGTATTTTTGTTGAATAAATTTTTTTAGCCCCCAGGCCTGAGACTTTGTGGTCTTGACAACAAAAAACATTTTAAATTCAACTAAAATAAGTCTACACTTAATAATTACAGTATCCTCAATATTGTGTATGAATATAAATATAAATATATAATTATTTTTTACTTTTACCGAAAGACAATCACTTGCGTCACCTTTTTGTTGTCGAAAAATAAATAAACTAACCTTCCTGCGGTCAAGGTAATTTTAAACAATGTCACTAATAATTAATGAAAATAAAGTTAGCCGACATTTAAAAATTTATATAATTATATTTATTAAAGAATAATAAAAAAATTTTTTCATTTGTTAAAATCTTCAAAAACTATAAGTGCAATTTTTTAAAAATATTTTTTAGTTATAAATTAAGCAAAATAAAATTAAAAATGTCGGCTAACTTTATTATTATTGATAATTACCGTAATTTCAATGTCTCTGGCAGCACTAAGACCAGCAAATAATCTCAGTATCATCAGAAACACAATCATCCTGTTTCCTTTCTTCATTTGGGACATTAAAATCACCCCGAGACATTCCTTCCGCCTAAGAGGTCACGAATGACAATGACACAGCTAAAGAAACTTGTCTGAACTTGTCACTTGTTTCGGTGACGATCGGAAGACTGTGGCGGTTTTTGGCGGGACGCGCGCTGATTGGTCGAGAGTCTTGTTACTCTCCAATTGGTCCATTTGAAATACTCACGCTTCCTCAAGGCTTACAGAAGTTGCGATGGTGGTGTAATGGTCAGCATAGTTGCCTTCCAAGCAGTTGATCCGGGTTCGATTCCCGGCCATCGCACATTCTTTTTGTTTTTTTACTAAAAACTATTTTTTTAATTATAATTATTTTATTTCTTCTCAACAAATATTATTATTATTATTATTATTATTATTATTATTATTTTTTTTTTTTTTTTAAATATTTAACACTACTTCTAAACACCTAATATTTATAATACTGAAGTTAGCCGTCAGCTGTTAATTTTAAAAATTGTTTTTAACAAATCAATAACAATAAAAAAATTATTCTAAAAATTGTCACTTGTAATTTTTAATAATTTTTACATGTGGAATTTTTTAATTGAATTTTTTTTATAATAATTTAATTGCTATAAAGTTCTAAAAAAATTTCTTATGTCTGTCATTAATATTTACGCGCAATGACAGTGGGCGCCGTCTACAGTCGCGGAAAGAAAACTTTATTTTCATAACACTGAAGTTAGCTGACATAAAAAATTTTTTTATAATTGTACAACAATTAAATTATTACAAAAATAATTAAATAAAAAAATTGCACTTGTGAAAATTAAGAAAATTTATCAGTGTAAATTTTTTAAAGAACTTTTTTAAGTGTAATTGTGTTTTAAAAATTAAAAAAATTAACAGCTGACAGCTAACTTCACTATCATTTATTTTATTTTTATAATTTTATCTTGGTGATGTTTACGTTTTTTTATATTGAAAAATATCTCTGGTGTTATAAAATTTATCACTTTAACTCGATTTTTTAAATAAAAATTGTAATTACTAATTTTTAGTTTCTTATATTGTAATTAATAAAATGAGAAAGATTATTATTCTATAATCATGTTAAATAAGTGATGTATTGATTTATAGGTTATGAAAGTAAAAAGTAAATATTTTTTAAATAAATAAATATGTTATTAAATAATAAACAATGATGCCTGATACAAACTGTCGACTGTGTTGTGAAAAACTCGATAAAAATTACTCCAATATTTTCGACTGTCAAAATGAAGGATTATCTTTGGGAGCTAAGATCATGATTTGTTTATCAATTCCGGTATGTAGAGAACAATAATAATAAATATTTAAATAAAAAATAAAGTAATAAAATAAAATTTATATTTTTTAGATACATAATAACGACAACCTGCCAGGAAAAATTTGTATACCTTGCACCGATGAAATAACTCGGTTTTACGATTTTAGAAATAAATGTCAAAGTACGTATTATTCTTTAATTCAAAAATACAAAGAGAATGTTAAGAAGCCTGTAGATAGTAAAGTAAATTTAAGCTTAACAAAAGACGAAGAAGTTCTGGACGAGTATATTATCAACAGCCTAGAAGAGGAACCGGAAATTAATGATGATAAAACTAAAAGTGATAATCTAGAAAGTTTTGTAACGAGTCCAGAAAATATTAAAACTGGTGAGGAAAAAAATTTAAGTAAAAAATACAAGTGTTTTTACTGCGAATTGTTGTTTGATAGTTACCAAGGAGCTGTTGACCATTGCATTGAATGTTTAGCGACTAAAAAAATCACAAATGGGATTGATGCTTTAAATAAGGACCAGGATGACAAAGAGACTGGTTCGGATTATGCAGAAGTAGAGTTTATTGAAGACATAGACTTTGATGGTGAAGAAAAAAATTATTATGAAGCTAAAGCTGAAGCTGAAGCTGAAGAAAATGTTGCTGAGATGATTGAAAATGAAAAAGAAGTAGAAGATAATTCAGAGAATAAATTTGAAGATGAAGATTACATATCAAGCGACGAACCTTATGAAGACGAGAGTGAGAACCAAGACCCTAAAGATTCTTCGCAGAATATTTTGCTTTCTAAAGCAGAATTAAATTCTGAAGTACGTCCAAAGAGGAGGTACTGTAAAAAGAAAATTTATCCTGAAAATTATCCCTGCCCTGAATGCAAGAAACCTTTCTCGTCTCGTAGTTTAATGCGAAGACACTTCATGGTGCACACTGGAGAGCGCCCTCACAGGTGTGAGACTTGTGGGAGGCGTTTTTCCCAGCTGGGAGCTCTGAATTTCCACAAGAAGCTCCACGAAGATCCTCCTTACCGCTGTGACCGCTGCAGCAAGCCTTTCATGAGGCCCAGCGACCTGGAAAAGCACTTGAGAACTCACACCGGGGAAAAACCTTACACTTGTCAAGTCTGTGGGAAAAATTTCACCCAGCTGGTGGCTGTCCAGCAGCACGAGCGGGTCCATACTGGTGACAAGCCTTTCCGGTGCAGGATTTGTGGAAAAACTTTCTCGCAGAGCGCCAATAAATCCAAACATGAAAAGATCCATCAGAAGGGACTCAAGCCTTTTATCTGCGACCTCTGTGGGAGAAGTTTTTCGGATAATGAGGAGATGGAAGAACACAAGGCTGGGCATGGAGGAGAAAAAGTCCGCGAGTGCGATTTTTGTGGGATGAAGTTCAAAAAATTCAGCGAAGTTATTGATCACGTCAGGCGGTACCATACTTTTGAAAGACCTCACACTTGTGATTTTTGTAAAAAAGCTTTTTATTCGCTGTACAGTCTCAAGCAGCATATTATGACTCACACTGGACAGAAGCCCTTTGCTTGCGCTGAATGTCCGAGTAAATTTACGCAAAAGGGCAATTTACAAAAACACTTTTCGAGAAAACATCCTGGGAAAGTTTTTAAGGATATTTGGAATAATAAGGACTCTGATCTCAGTGGTCTCAGTGGTCTCAGTAGTCTAGAAGGATTTGAAGATTGCTCGGTAGATAATAAATCTGATGTTGATGTAAAAATAGAAAATTGATTGTTGATTTTTTAGAAATAATAAAATGTCAATTAATATAAATTTTTTATTTGTCACGTAAACAAAATTTTTAAATTAGTTTACAATTTTTTTTGGCGAAATTTATTAACAAAAAATTATTTTAGATAATTTTATCAGTTTGTTATAATATTTTTTATAATTAAAAACGGAAAAAAATCATGATGATAATAATAATAGAGAAATAGAAATTAATTGTTACAAATTTATGAAAATACTGAATATTTGACACTTTTCTAGAAAACATCCTGGAAAAGTTTTTAAAGACATTAAATCGGATGTTGATGTAAAAAAAGAAAATTGATTGTTGATTTTTTAACAATAATAAAATGTCAATTAATATAAATTTTTTATTTGTCACGTAAACAAAATTTTTCAAAACAAAATTTTTAATATCAGTTTACAATTTTTTTTTTTGGCGAAATTTATTAACAAAAAATTATTTTAAATAATTTTATCAGTTTATTATAATATTATTAATAATTAAATAAAAACGGAGATAAATCATGATGATAATAATAATAGAGAAATAGAAATTAATTGTTACAAATTTATCAAAGTACTGATTACTTGAATTAGAAAAATTCATTGTGAAAATACAAATTTTCTGGGAGTTGATTATTTCTGAGTTGACCAGCCAACATCTTAAGCTACTTTGTACAGGTTGATATTAAACATTAATTATCATATAAATTAGACACTAATTATTATAAAAATTAAAGACTAAGGACATAAATTGTAGATTAAATTATACGAAAATTGTCTAGACATTGTACAAAATGAATGAAACTTCACAATTGATTAATTTTAACCCTTTTAATACTTAGTATCAAATTAATAAATGACTTATTAGTTAACAATAAAAATTTATTTACAAGATTAACGAGTTTAACCAATCATCAACGTCCATCTGCTGGTTTAAGTCACCAGAGTCAAGCTCGGGTATAATACTTTCGAAATTATCCTGCTTGATAAAACTCTCATCAAAAGAAATATCCTGCAAGTCAAGGGTGAAATTCTGATCTTTATTCTCAGCCTTCACCTCAAGCTCTTCCGCGTCTAACTTACTCTCCGAGACCGAGACAATGTTTGGCAGTTCTAAACTATTCCCGTGATTAAAAGGCACCGTTGACATATTTTTATTTACATTATTAATAACTGGCTTAATTACTTTTTTCAGTACCACTTTTTTCATAGGTAATCTTTTCAGTATCCTCATTGAGGTAACTGTCTCAGTGTTCGTTACAGTGGGCAGGGACTTTTTCCTCGCACCAGTTCCTGGGAAATTGCTTTTAAATACTAGTTTTTTATCACAGCCTTGGATCGAACGTGATGTTAGATTTTTTTCCGGCGAGTCGATGTCAAAGATACTTGGAGAAGGACTGCCCAACACTTGGATGTCTTTGGTGATAGTCGCCGGTGATGCGTACGAGTCCGTGATACCTGGAGTTTTAAAAACTTTATCAAAATCTGAATTCTCATCAGCGAATTCAGGGTATTTTAAATTTGTCAAACCTTTGACGTCTGTTTTTGCCTCCTGGTTGTCCACCGGCGTCACTGGCGGGGTATATAGTGATAATTCTGTAGAGATGGGTATGACAGGAAGGTTTTTACTTGCTTCCATTATTTCTTTGAGGTCCTCGTCGATTTTGGGGATAAATTTAAATGCCTCGTAGCCAAACGGCCATACACACTAAAAATAATAAAAATAAATTATTATTAACAATTTTAAGTTAGATGTTATTTGATTATTTCTTAATTTTATTTAACAAAAAAATTTGTTCTAAAAAATTATTTTTCAAAAATTGCATTTTTAATTTATTAAATTCTCTAAATATCAATTTTTTTATGCAGTAATTAATTTATTTAAAAAATTATTAAATATTTGCTAAATTAATTTTCATTGAGTATTATCATTATTATTATTAATTTAAAAAATGAACAAGTAGAAATTTTTATACTACTTTTTTAACAAACAAATTTTGGCCAAAAAATTATTATTAAAAAAATTGAATTTTTAATTTTTACGTCAATTTTTTCGCCATAATTTATTTTTTATACAAATTCTTATTAAATATCTACTAAATTAATTTTTATGACATTAAAATTAACAGACACATGACTAGTTTCTTGAATAATAAACTAAGTCTAAAAAAAATTTCATTTATAATTTTTTGGAGCTTTTAAAGATGGAATTTTTAAATTATTTTTTTAGCTAAAGTTGAATAATTAAAAAAATTCCAAAAATAATAAGCTGTCTCTAAACTTCTTACCTTTTCGTTTTCGCACATCTCAATATCTTCACTCTCATTTAAGGGGTAATTAGATAATCTACTGACCACCCCCGTTTTTTGGCATAGCGGACACAATCGCTCCATTCTGTGATTTTTAACAATAATAATTGAATCAGTTAATTATTTAATATAAAAAAATATAATACTACGTTACAAAACGTTAATGCCGGCTTGGTTAGGTTAATTAAAAATCGACGCTACAACAATACTCACTTTTACCGGTAATTTTTTATTCCAATGTCATTATACGCAATCAGCGCCGCTAATAATTCACTAATTAAGTGGTCACTGATTGCGATTATAATTCCTGGAGTAACAACAATTAAATTTGTTTTTTAAAAGCCATGTGTCTCTAGTCGGACTGCCGAGAAAAAAAACAACAAACAAAACTGGCTCTGTCACTGCGAGCGGGAAAATTAAATTCTATTTTTTAGTATTAAATTATTACAAAACTATTTTTTTTCTGTCAAAATTTTTTTGATAAAAAATTTCTTATAAATTTACAACTCAAAAATAAATTTAAATTTTTAAATTCTAAAAAATTTATTTTTTTATTTTGTAAAAAATAAAAAAAAAAAGTAAATTTTTATTAACAAGAATTATTTTGATTAAAATTAATTATTCAAGTGACAATTAATTAAATTTACTTGACACTTTTTTGCAATAATAATTTTATAAATATTAAAAGTTCCTAAAACGGCCATAAGGCAGCGCTGCAGTCGATTTTATTTCATGAAAACGGGAACTATCGATATGACGTAGAAGTACAATGTATCGCTCTCGCTCTCGATCTCTAAACTAAATCGAGCGTGAGGTTTTGTTGCGCGTGTGAACCTGGAGCAGAGTAAAGCAAAAGCAAACGGATAGACGAGTTCGTTAGTTTTATTTACAAAATAATTAAAAATGCCGATGAGTGCTGGCCAGTGATAATAAATGTGCGTTAAAAATGTCGAATCCTGGAGGTAGCAGGCGAAACGGGGCTACTAAGATACGTTTGACCAGTAAGTCCATCAGTATCTACATACACTAATTACTTTTTTTTTTTTTTTTTTACAATCAAGACCTAAGGATATATAAAGAGCGAGTGATTATTAAGTGGCAAGCTGATGTTAGTTATACAGTGCCCCGTCTGAGTAGTCTGTGAAAGTTTTAATGTCCTCACTGTACACCACCGAAACTACTCTTACACATACAATATGCAATACACAATATACAATATATAATATAATAAAATAATATAATAGTACTCGAGCGTTACTATTATCACCACAATTACCTGCCATTTCTATATAATCTATATAATTTATTCTCGTTTATTAACAAAGTCCATTTTATATATTTTATTATCCACCCGTACCTCTATTGGTTGATATTAAATTGGTGACAATTACAACTTTTTATTTCCTCTGTTTTTATTTTCCAGATAAACAATGTTGAAAATTATTTTTTTAAGACGTCATCAGCTGCGTTGTTGCTAATTAATAAATTTATAAAATCATGTACTGTCATTCTGTTTATTGCAGACAAAATTTTGGAGCCTGCAATTTGCAATAATTAAATTTATAATACTGAAGTTTGCCGTCAACTGTCAATTTTTAAAATTTTAATAATGAAAATTAATTTAGCAGATATTTTATAATTTTTAGAATTGTAACAAATAAATAATGGCAAAAAAATTTAAAAAAAAAAAAAAAAAAAATGGTGTAAAAATTTAATATAATTAAAAATGCAATTTTTTGGAGCAAAAAAAATAAAAAATTATCTAGTGACTGCTAACTTTAATAATTATAATAAAAAAATCCTTCTAAAAATTTTCACTTATAATTTTTACTGAAATTTTTTTTTTTTTAAATTATTGAATTGCTATAAAAATCTAAAAAAAATTGTACTGTCAAATTTAGTCATTTAAACTATGAAAATTAAATTAGCCATCTAAAAATTTTTTTGTTCTTTAAAAAATTATTAAAAAAAAAATTGCATTTGTAGAAAATTAAAAAAACTATAAGTGTAATTTTTTAAAAATATTTTTTTGCTTTAATTTAATAAACTAAAAAAAAATTAAAAAACATTGGCTGACTAGTGTTATTTAAAATGTACTAGTTTTCATCATCGAGAATAATTATTAGCACTAGACATCTCCAGATGACCAGATCACCAGATCACCAGATCCTTATTATAATATGTGACCCCACCGTGTGAACACTCTCTCTGGGAGAGCAAGGAGGTCATTTTATTCCAACACATGACAGATATATCTACTCACATCAACACAAACATCCACGAAGCTAATTTGATCCAATTCTAAGTCTAGTCCACGAGTTCATTAACGTCTGATTCATTTAATGTCCACCCGCTTGCAGCAACACACCACACCACTCATTAATTCATCTTTTTATTCCTTTTATTCAGTAATTCATTCATTTAAACAGCCTAAATAAGTAAATTTTACTTTCAATGGGCCTGCATAACGCTTATTCATTTTACAATTTAAATAATTAACTAAATTATCTTGTTTTTCAGTTTTATGCGCCCGCAACTTAGCGAGAAAAGATTTATTTCGTAAGTGTTTATAAACAATTATTATTATTGTTTTTAATTGTTTGTAAGAGTTATTTTTAATTAATAAAACATGCATTAAAGGCCTTCCTGATCCGTTCGCCAAGGTTACTGTTGATGGATCCGGTCAATGTCACAGCACGGACACCTGCAAAGCCACCCTAGACCCCAAATGGAATCAACATTACGATCTGTGAGTCTTGATATATTTTATTGAATTATTTTTTACACGCAGCGGCAGTAACGGTTGCTTAATTAATGCTAATGTAATTCTATTGCAGATATATCGGAAAGAATGACGGTATCACTATAACCGTATGGAATCATAGAAAAATTCATAAAAAGCAGGGTGGTGGATTTTTAGGATGCGTCAGAATTTTGTCAAATACTATTCAAAGGCTCAAAGACACCGGATGTAAGTTTATCTATCATATTTTTTTTACTTTCTCTCTACTCTATTTCAATTTCAATCGGTCATTAATTTTTACTAATTAGTCTCCGCAAATGATATTTTAAAAACTATAACTTTCAAATTTATTTTATTATACATTAAAAAAAATTAAAAATATTTTATTTCAAGATTTTACACTCTGATTAGATAATTTAAATTGAGAAACTAATTTTTTTTTATTAATTACTCAGTCATAGTTCAACCGTGACTCATTTAAATTTGTGTCAAATATTTCCGTCCTTTTTTTTTTTTTTGTGGGAAATTTTTTTATCTTTAAACAGTCAGTAATATATTAATTAAACATTACAGGATAAATTTTTAATTTTTGATTTTTTTTATTAATTAAATTACAACTAAAAAAATATTTCTAAAAAATTACACTTGTAGTTTTTTAACTTTTTTATAAGTGAAATTTTTTTTTAATTGAAATTTTTTTAATAAAAAATTTCTCAAAATTTTTAAATATCAGCTTATTTTCATTAAATTTTTATAATAATTTTTTTAATTATTAAAGTAAAGCTAAAAAATATTTTTGAAAAATTGCACTTACAGTTTTTCAAGTTTTTTACATATGAAATTTTTTTTTTTTATTATTTTGTAATAATTTTTTTAATAAAAAAAAAAAAATTCTAAAAATTTTTAAATGTCGGCTAATTCAATTTTGATAAGTAAGCTGACATTTTTAATTTTTGGATTCATTTTCATTAATTAAATTAGAACAAAAAAAATATTTTAAAAAAAATGCACTTGTAGTTTTTTAAGTTTTTTGCAAATGCAATTTTTTTTTATTCATTTTTTCGAGAAAAAAAAAATTTTAAATGTCGGCTAACTTAATTTTCATAAATTTTTTGATATTTTGTGACCGAAGATTCCAATCATGAGTAAATAGATAAGTGAAATTCATAAAAAAAAAAAAGTTACTTATATTTATTTATTTATGTTTGGATATAGATCAACGTCTGGATCTTTGTAGAGCGAATACTGATGACACAGACGTAATTAAAGGTCAGATAGTGGTATCTTTATTGTCTCGAGACGGTCATAATGGAGCTGTGAGTAATACCGTGGGCCACAACGCAGTAGTTGATGTCCTCGGTGATTTGAGTTGTCCAAATGATTTGCCTGATGGATGGGAAGAGAGGAGAACTGAAAGCGGTAGACTTTACTATGTTAATCATTACACAAGAACCACTCAATGGATCCGTCCTAACTCACGGTATTTATTTTAAACAATAGTGACACAATAAGCCATATGAATAAACATTAATCCTTTATCTCTAATTTTTATTTATTATTTACTACTATTGTTTGGTAGAGTAAATTGATCATCATCAGCAGAAGACACTGCTATGCTATTATATCTAGTTATCTAACAATAATATTATTGCTTCAGACCTAATGCAATAATACCAACGACGCCGGAACCCCCGGCGTTGCCAAATTCCGAGCCGACGTCACCCAGCAGCAGCGGCTCGCCGTCTAATGTCCAATCTGACAGCCCACCTCATATCCAACGTAATCAGGAGACGTGGAATGATGGAACTCCGAGCAGAACTCCTAGTCGTGACAGCTCGACGCAAAACACTCCCAGGAATACTCCAACTCAGAATCAAAACCAGAACGCTAGAAATCAGACACCGCCTTCCGCTGGTCGGGATAGACGAACGTCCAGGAACAGCGATGAGAATGCTAATGCTAATGCTAATGTCAATGGTAGAGTTGAAAGAAATCAAAATCAAAGTCAACCACGACGACCAAGTCGTCCTCATAGAATTCGCAATGGCGAAAGGAGAAATGAACAACCTACGGATCTTCCTCGTGGTTATGGTATGTTATTGTTTTTATTATAATCTATATTATTAAGAAAACAAAAATACTCCATCTCTTGATACATAATTAAGAAATTACCTTGTATCTTGTTAAGTATTGATATTTTTAAAGATATAAGCTTATCCTGACATTACACTCATCGAGACCTTTCATTGGAGTACCCACATCAATTTTTCATATATTTATATATATGTATATATGAAAAATATATCAAAAATGCATGTGGGTACTCAAATGAAAGCTTTTGATGAGTATAACATCGGAATGAGCTTATATATCTTTAAAAATGTCAATAATTAAGAAACTACAGGGCATTTAAACAATTATCTCGTGAACTATTGACATTTTTAAAGATATAAGCTCACTCCAATGTTATACTTATCAAGAGCTTTCATTTAAGTACCCACATGGATTTTTTATATATTTTTCATATATAAATATATATAATATATATAAATATATAAAATATATGAAAAATTGATGTGGGTACTCAAATTAAAGGTCTCAATGAGTGTAATGTCAGGGTGAGCTTATATCTTTAAAAATGTCATTAGTAAAGAAAGTACAGTGCAATTTAACAAAAGTTAAATACCCCAAAATTTAAAAATAGGCTTGAAATGATATTTTCAACTCACAAGGTAATTAATTATAATATAACAAAGTAAAATATTAATGTTAAGATGTCTGAGCAGCAGACTATTACAGATTACAAGCAGTTAATATCCTTAGTGATGTAGTAAGCGTGTAAAATTACTATCACCTTTATTTAAATCCGAATAATATGGATATATTATCTCCCCAGAAATGCGTCAAACACAGCAGGGACAAGTTTATTTCTACCATGTGCCAAGTGGCGCGTCAACGTGGCACGATCCACGAATTCCACGGGACTTGCCGGCTAATGAGCTAGCAACAGAGTTGGGTCCATTACCAAGTGGCTGGGAGATGCGACAAACTCCCAGTGGTCGTGTTTACTATGTTGATCACAATAACAGGACGACGCAGTTCACAGACCCTAGATTGTCAGCCCAGATCATCAACAGCTTACTAAAGAAACACACAAACAGCAATAATGGGGGAACGGCTGTAAATGTAACAAGCGGGAGCAATCCATCTGGAAATACCAGCAATGCAATTGTCACGCCAAGAACAAATGACGTAGGTACCGAGTCAACTGCATCGACTACAACCACGACAACTACCACAAATACTAACACCACGCCGTCAGCAGTTAGTGTTGCAAATACAACAAATACTAATCAGCAAACACAAGTACAAAGCAACCGTACGATATGTAATTCAACGTTAGTTAATAATAATTCATTTACGGTTGAAAGCACACCGATTAATATTATTCCACAGACTATTTCGGATTTACCTAAAGAGCTTATGGAGAGTGAATTATTACCCAAGTATAAACGTGACCTTGTTGCTAAATTAAAATGTCTTAGGGCTGAATTAAATGCTCTTCAACCGCAGAGTGGTCATTGTCGCCTTGAAGTATCAAGAAATGAAATATTTGAAGAGTCATACAGGATAATTATGAAAATGAGGCCTAAGGACATGCGAAAGAGATTGATGGTTAAATTTCGCGGTGAAGAGGGTCTTGATTACGGTGGAGTTGCTCGTGAATGGTTGTATTTATTGTCCCACGAGATGTTAAATCCTCAGTACGGATTATTTCAGTACTCTAGAGATGACAATTACACGCTGCAGATAAATCCAGACTCAGGAATAAATCCCGAACATCTTTCGTACTTCCACTTCGCGGGTAGAATTATTGGAATAGCTGTTTTTCATGGCCATCATATTGACGGAGGCTTCACGATGCCTTTCTACAAGATGTTGCTTAATAAAGGAATCACTTTGAGTGATATAGAAGGTGTTGATCCGGAGCTGCATCGCAGTCTCACCTGGATGCTGGAGAACAGCATCGATGGAGTGCTAGACGCGAGTTTTTCTGTGGAACACAGCAGCTTTGGAGTGCTGAGGAATCATGAACTTAAGCCTGGGGGGAAAGATATCACTGTGACTGAGGAAAATAAAAGGGAGTATGTGAGGTTGTATGTTAATTATCGGTTTATGAGGGGGATTGAGCAGCAATTCTTGGCGTTGCAAAAGGGATTTCATGAACTTATTCCTCCGCAATTGTTGAGGCCTTTTGATGAAAGAGAGCTGGAGCTGGTGATAGGTGGATTGGGGAGTATTGATATTAATGATTGGAAGGTGAATACCAGGTTGAAACATTGCAATCCCGATACTCCGGTTGTTAAATGGTTCTGGCAGATTGTCGAGTCGTATGGCGAAGAAATGAGAGCTAGGCTACTGCAATTTGTTACGGGAAGTTCGCGGGTACCTTTACAAGGATTCAAAGCTTTACAAGGTATTTTATTTTTATTTTTTTATTGAAATTAATTTAGCAGATAATTGATAATTTTTAATAAATAAATTATGGCAAAAAAAAAATTGACAAAAATTAAAAATCCAATTTTTTTTAAATAATTTTTCGGAACAAATTTGTTTGTTAATTAAAATTAAAAATTGTCCAATGATTGCTAACTTTAATCTCATAATTTTCTTTTATTTAATTTTTAATTAAATATAATTTTTTTTATTAAAATTAATTTACAAGATATTTAATAATTTTAAAAATATTTTTAACAAATAAATTATTGCAAAAAAAAATTGGCATGTAAAAATTAAAAAAAAAAAAAAAAATCCAATTTTTTAAAATAATTTTTTGCAACAAATTTATTTGTTAAATAAAATAAAAAAATTGTTAAGTGACTGCTAATTTTACTCATCAATTTTATTTAATTTTTACATAAATTATTTAAAAGGATCAACTGGTGCAGCTGGACCACGTCTATTCACAATTCACGCCGTAGACGCTCCTAGTGAAAACTTACCAAAAGCTCACACGTGTTTCAATAGAATAGATATACCACAAAGTTATCCATCCTACCAAAAAATGCTCGACAAGCTTACGCAAGCCGTCGAAGAAACATGCGGGTTTGCGGTTGAATAAATTGGTAAGTTGCTCAACTGACGAAAATTGTTAAGTAACAAATAAGTTCCCTGCACAAAGACTTATGTAAATGATCAGGTGTTGAAAAGTTAATAATAATTGTCTGTCATAGGTTACTCTCAAGGCTGAAGTATCTGGATAAATAATAAAAAAAAAATAAAAAAATAAACTGAGGACTCAAGCTGTTAAATGTTCGATACTAAATACATAAATTGTATTTTCGTGGTGATATTCGTATATATAAATATTTATAGATCGGCCTAGTTTAAATAAAACTATAAATCATCCTGAATAATTGTCAGGATTGATTGCCGTGACTCTAAGCAGTAATTACTGTCAATTATTATCATATCATTCAGAGTTTTAATTATTATTAAAAATTAAATGGATCCGGCCAGTCGCTGCGAGACTATTTTTTTAGGGCTTAAAAACTAAATTATAGTGTTTATATATATTAAAAAAAAATAATAATAATAATAATGAGAACAAAGCATATCAATGTAAGAATGTAAATTATTTAAATTTTATTTATTATGAAATTTTAATTAGTGACGAAAATTATATAAATTGTGTTGAAAAGCCCTTGTGATTAAAGTTATTGAATGATATGACAAGATATTTGTATATTTGAGGGATTAATTAGTCGGGTAAAAATTTTTTTAGATTTAAATTGTCAACTTGAGGTAAATTTATTCGTTTTGCCCTTATCTGTTTTCGCGAACGCGTGAAATACAAGTAAAGGGTATAATTAGAAAGATGTAAATAGTTTATTAAAACGGGACTGTTGTTGAGAGGTTCTATAAAATTTAGATGAAATATATATAAATTATAAATGTATAAATAATAAATATAACTATTCTAGTTATGAAAAAATTTTTTTCAATTTTAAAACAAATTAATCGGTGAAAATTTTAAAATATTAGAAGAAAGTATAATTAGCCTTAATTTTAAATAAATAGAGTAATAGTTAATTAAAAAAAAAAAAAATATCTGGCTTGGAAATATAAATTTTGGCCTTAAATTTATATAATTTTATCACGATAAATTTAACTCTAGAAAATAAATAAATTTAGAGCCGATAGAAGAAATAGAGACGGTAGTCATGACAATTGATAACTAATTAAAGGTCATTTAAAATAATTTTATTTATAAATGTAGAAATTTTTTACCTTCTCCACTTGCATTAGCATGACCAATTGTAATTAATATCGATAATAATTTTATTTATGTAATTTAATAATTAATCACATAAAAAAAAAAATAAAAATAGACAATTCAAGGGCGTTTAGATATCAACAGTGCCTTTTTAACATTTAATAAAACCGGCATTAAAAAAAAAAAATAAAATAATAAAACGTCCAGGTTTTTATCTTATCTTGTTAAATCGCAATTAACATTTTATCAGAAAATTAATTTCTAAAATAATATCAGTCGATTGCCGAAATTGATAAAATTAATAAATTAAAAAGAATTGGCAGCGGTGGTATTGTTTAAAAAAAACTTTCCAAGCAACAGAAAGTCTTTATTACTCAAATGAAATTAAAGTTAAACATGTAATAGTTAAAAATAAAATTGACTGCCTTCCTTGAAGCTCATAATTAATTAATTAAATTAAATGGCGCTAAGTTTATACGCACACTTGAAACACCAGCAAATTATCGTTTAGTTTTCTCTTATGCACCGTTAGATCTACTGTATAAATAATTATAACTATTGTTATTCTATTTACCTATTATAATTATTTTTATAATATTAATAATAATAACAACAACTAATCATTTATGATTATTATTCATATCAGAAAAAAATTTTTAAAAATATTTCCCGTTATGATCTTACAAACTTTCGAGCAACAATTAATAATTAAAAAAACAAATTTTTAATAATAATTATTTGTACATATCACTCTTAATCATTTTCTCGCTGTTCATTTTTTGTATTTTGGATCAAATGTATATTTTAATAAAATATCCAAAGTTACGAAAACATTGACAAATAAATTGTTATCTTTTTTTAATCCTCAACATATTATTTATATTATTCTAGATAGATAATTAAGAAATGACCTTGTATCTCGTAAACTATTGACATTTTTAAAGATATAAGCTCATCCCGATGTTACACTCATCAAGACCTTTCATTTGAATACCCACATCAATTTTTCATATATTTTATATATTTATATATATGTATATATGAAAAATATATAAAAAATGCATGTGAGTACTCAAATGAAAGCTCTTGACGAGTGTAACATCGGGATGAGCTTATACCTTTAAAAATGTCAATAGTTAAAAAAATACTGTACAATTTACCAAAAGTCATCAATTAATAAAGAAAAATTTTAGAGAGGTATTTTAATAAAAATTTTTTTCAGGATTTTAATTAAATGTATTTTAAGGAAATAAAACATGATACACTTTTCTTCACATTTAACATAACACCAGTGTATATTGCGTCACAATTTACTTATTTGATACATAATATTACAATGGTGCATAATAAAATTCTATACATATTTTTTCATTCTATCTAAGGGTAAATCATATTAATTTTATCAATATTTTTTTCTTAAATTTCCATCACCCTGTTTTTCTTCAAGCCGAAGCGCAAGTCGGATAAAAGTAAAAAGCATGTCTTGATAATTAAAAATAAATTTAAATAAAACGCTTCGCCTTGCAAAGAACTAATAATTTAAATAAAAATTTGATTTTCCTTTCAACCGTTCTACTAATTTAATCTAATTAATATTCCAAAACAAATACTAAAATAATAAAATGATTTAAGCACAAACTGACATCTAAAAGCAATAAATGATATTAGAATTAGTATGTTTAAGTTTAACATACAAACATTTACACAATTTTTTTTTTCTTTTTCTGTAACACTAATACAGGATTTTATTTGTGTGCTTGTGTATTTCCAGGTGACGGACAATATTTAAATATTTATTTTATTCATTTTAATTATTTTTATTCGTTAACATAAAACACTTTTGCGTGACTCATTTCTTCTCTACTTTTCTTTATAATTATTATTATTAATATAATTTTTCGCCAACATTAAAGATGAATTTTTCCTCTACTCGACAATCTTTAAATTTGCATAATATATACCGCATAAATATATATATATATATACAGCATATATATCAGCAGCCTTAAACATTTTATTTCTTCTCTTAGAAATTTTTCAATCTTTTATAATGGCGCTTTATTATTATTATTATTTTTAAACTTTATAAAGTATCACTAATATATACTTATTATTATTATTATTATTATAATACAAAAAAATTTATTTTTTCGTTTTATAATGTCATTATTATTTGGTTAATTGGATAGTACATGATACCTTTATATTGCTCACACTAATCATTAATATTAATTATTAATTCATACGAATCTACAGACTCTAGATGGGTAATTCAGGCCCCTTGAAAAAATCACACGTAGTTAAGATTTAATAAATTTTTTTTTTTTCTGTGATTAAATTATTATTATTATTAATAATAAAATAATAATTGTATAACTGTATCGTGTGTAAGCGCGAGCTAATTAACATTTATATTTATAATAATATATTTATTTATTTATTTAAAATAATAATCTTAATTAATTCTGCTCTACTTTAATTATTAATTAATTTATTTATTTAATTATGATACATAATTGCGACGTTCTTATGCCCGACATGTAAACCAAAGATCTTTTTTTTAATCACACTTTAGTTTTTAAAAAATCTAGGGGCTAGCCTGGATTTTTGATTTTAAAATTACATGTCGTGGTATCAAACCAAAAAAATACTTATATTTATATATATTTATTTATATAATATATATATATTTTTTTATATTTATATAGTTCAATCTTTACGCCCTAGTATAAAATTCACCCCACTAGTGTTTGCCAGTAAAGTGCTAAAAAATAATAAACAATAAAAATAAAGCAAATATTTAAAAGTTAATTTAATAAATTAACTTTCCACCTCTATTATGTTATACATAAACTTTATAAATTCTGAGTGATTCCTCGATAGAACTAGCTTCAGTACACAAAGCAGCCGAATAATTATTGCACTCGGACGTAATAATAGCTAAAATCACTTAGATGAAACTTTTTAGCGTCTAATTTAACAGATGGTGGCTTACACTTTATCTACACTCTTACCCTCCAGTTACATATATTTATATTTATATATAAAACTACTTTAACAAGATAAAAAATAGAGAAATTAAGAAGACAAATTACTTTATTTTTCTATGAAAAATAAAGATTACACGTAAAGAACAAGATGATACTGGATATCATCCAAGATTAGACTGAGTAAAAAAAAAATTTCAAATAGTACACTGATAGAAGAATTTCTTAGCATTTAAAAAAATTTCTTAGTATTCATAATATTTCTTAAACATCATTTTTTAGTAATTAAGAAATATTTTTTTAAAAACTAAGAAATGATGTTTAAAAAATGATTTCTCAAATACAAAGAAATCTTTTTAAATGCTAAAAAATCCTTCTGTCAATGCAGGTAGTATAATTCCAGATTACAATGAGCATAATCCAGATGTCACACAGTATAATCTGGAGCACGCCAGATTTTTCTCGCTACTAGAAAAATATCCGGAGTTTTTTTTTAGCTACTATCTGAAATTTTTTTTTCACCACAGATATCACTAAGTATAATCTGAGATTATATCCAGTATCATCTTGTTCTCTCCGTGTAATTATAATAATAATAATAATAATAATAATTAATAAAACATTCAACGCTAAATTTACAATCATTATAATTATTGATTAGAAAAATGGTTAAAGTGTATGTTAACTTCATTTTTTTTTTTTTTAATTGTAACAATCGCGATAATTAGCTGTCACAAACACTTTTTAAATTTTAATTAATTAATTAAATTAATTTAATTAATAGACATATTTAATATCTATCAACTGATGTGCTGATAAATCATAAAATTATTTACAAATTTTTCGAGAGAATAATCACTGTTAATATTTGCATTATCATTATTATCATTAATATTATTGTTATTGTTATTATTAGTAGTAGTATTATCATTATTCTCTGTTAAATTCGTCATGGTTAATCCGATTGGCTTATCATTGTTCGCCGTTTGGTCCATTCAATAAGAAGTAAGCACACCCGGTGGGGTAGGAACAACAACGGTGTGTTGTGGAACGACTGGAGGCGCGGGTGGAACCAGAGGATGGCCGACGAGAACGGCCGCGGCTGTAGGAATCGGTAAGACCCCGGTTTGCGGAATCGCTGATGGTGTAGTGACTTGGGTCGGCGGACCCTCGGCGGCGTGCTTCCGCAAGTGTCTCAGCATGTTGCCCTTCTCGACGAAAGTCTTCCCGCAGTCGGGACAGCTGTGGGGTCGCTCATCCGAGTGGGAGCGTCGGTGAGACACCAAGTGGCCCTTGCACATGAAATCTTTCGGACAGAGATCACAGCGGAAAGGCCGCTCAGCATTGCTGCCTTTGTTGTGGGAGCGCATGTGGAAGAGCAGGTTGCCTTTCAGAGGAAAGCTCTTACCGCATTCGGTACAAACGAATGGTCTTTCGCCGGTATGACAACGCATGTGATTTACCAAGTGCTCCTAAAAATTTAATTTTTTATTTATAAAATTATTTAATAAAAATTTCTCATTTAGAAAATTTTTTATTAAAATTATTTTATTAATTTTTTTTTTTACCTTTCGGGTAAACGGCTTGGAGCAAACATTGCAGCAATGAGACGAATCTCCAGTATGTTGTCGTAAATGATTATTGAGATGTTCTTTTCTCGTAAATGTTCTCTGGCAAAATTCGCATCTGTGCGGAGACTCACCGGTGTGAATTCTGACGTGATTCGTCAAATGCTCTTTGCGTGTAAATGACTTTGAGCAGAAGTGACAACGATGGGGCGACTCGCCTGTATGTTGACGTACGTGATTTGTCAAATGCTCCTTGCGCGTGAAGGATTTCGTGCAATACTGGCACTTGTGCGGTGACTCACCCGTGTGCTGTCTCACGTGATTCACAAGGTGGTCTTTACGTGTGAATGCTTTTGGACAGTACTGACAACGGAATGGAGTTTCACCTGTTTAATATTTATAACATTATTTATTTGATTAGTTAATTTATTTATTTATATTATTAAACTGCATTCAAAAATTTTCTATCTTTGGATATATAATTAAGAAATGACCTTGTATCTTGTGAACTATTGACATTTTTAATGATATAAGCTCATCCCGATGTTACACTCATCAAGACCTTTCATTTGAGTACCCACATCAATTATATATGAAAAATATATCAAAAATGCATGTGGGTACTCTCAAATGAAAGCTCTTGACGAGTGTAACATCGGGATGAGCTTATACCTCTAAAAATGTCAATAGTTAAGAAAGTACAGTGTAATTTAAAAAAATTCATTATTTAATAAAGCAAAATTTTATTTATTTATAGCTCACAAGTCACGGAAGTCACATAGTAACTACAAGGTTGCGATTTATTATTATTAGAATAAAAAAAAAATTCTTACCAGTATGTTGACGAATATGATTAACAAGATGTTCCTTTCTGGTGAATGATTTAGAGCAGAAGCCACATCTATGAGGAGACTCACCGGTGTGTTGACGTACATGGTTCAATAGATGCTCTTTCCGGGTAAATGTCTTCGAACAAAAGTCACAGCGATGAGGTGTCTCACCCGTGTGCCACATTATGTGGTTCGTGAAGTGCTCCTTTCTTGTAAACGACTTGCCTATTCATTAAAAAAATAAATAAATAAATCATTTGCCAACATCGTTAAGTAAAACTTAAAAGTCACACGTGGGATGATTCCAAACTATTTTCATTACAGTTACAATGTTTTAGTCTTGTAGTTTTTTATAATAAAAAAAAAAAAAAAAAAAAAAATATATTTTAATATTTAAAAAAAAAGAATATAACATGACAAGTGTTTTATTTTTTACGCTCGGTTGCGTTATACTCAATTGTACTGAAGATCGATCAGTAAAACTTAATAGTTGAATGCGATCCGGATCAAATAACGAAATTATTTATGCTACAGTAACTTCGGAAATGACGGTTTAATTCTAATGGAAATAATTACAGAATTGATAGTTTAAAAAATTTATTGTATTTATTTATTTCAATAAATAAATTTTACTAACCACTGAGATTAACAAAGTAGTAAGTCATTTGACAGAAAATAAAAAATTTATTTAAAAAATTTTTTTTCTACCAAAAAATAAATGAAATTTCGGAAGATTTAAAAAAACAATAACAAATATTTTGAAGTAAGACGCGGCTGAGTCGCCAAGACGAAGGCACCTCGATATCTGGGGGTTGATAAAAGACAGCGACTTAGGGGGTAGCGGTGATGATGTTTTGCAATGGAATGCGCGCGACCCGCAAATCCTCGAGGGCGGTTACCCGCGATGCGCGATCAATTCTCGCGGATTTTATTTCAATGCGTCTTTACACCCACTTGTATTGCAATTGGAAGGGTAGGGTGCATTTATGCTGTTGTGTTGATATATTTAGCAGCTCCGCGAAATTAAATAACAACAGCATCATCACCACCACCACAGGTAACTGTCACGCAACTACTTTCATATTGAATTTCTGAGCGTCTCACCTTCTTGCTATTAAATTAATTCAACTACAAAACAAAAATCTAGATTTATTAAAAATTAATAAACTAAAAATTAAATATTTAATAAATAATAAATTAATTGAAGCGAATGGAATCACCCTCCAAGATAAATGACTGTTGACAGTTTGATGGAATGAAAGTTTAGATAATATATATTATGTATGTATAATAGATATAATATTACCCGAGACATAAATATTGATCATAATAGCCAGAGTTTAATTACAGCGTAAAAGGCAATCAAACGACTATTAATAACTCGCAAAGGCATTATTATTGTTAATACTTGTAGTTTGATGGAAGACTCACCGCAAATTTCACAGCGGAAAGGCGTATCATTGGTGTGAGAACGCATGTGATTTGCCAAGTGCTCTTTGCGCGTGTACTTTTTCCCGCAAACCTGGCAATGATGAGGTGTCTCGCCAGTGTGCCACATTACGTGGTTCATAAAATGTTCTTTGCGGGTGAAGCTCTTCTTGCAGATGTCACAGCGATGAGGCGTTTCGCCGGTGTGTTTTCTCACGTGGTTTACCATGTGTTCCTTCCGTGTGAAAGTCTTTGCGCAATATTGACATCTACGGTAATTAATTTGTTAAATTACCTCCATTGTACTAATATTAATTAATTAAATGTTATTATAACAATTATATTATATTATTATAATTGTTTTATATTAATTTTTCTCAAAATATTATGACATTAAAGTTAGCAGTCACTTAACAATTTTTTGATTTTATTTATCAAAAAAATTTATTTCAATAAATTATTTTTAAAAAATTGCATTTTTTATTTTTTAAAATTTCTACATGTCAATTTTTTTTTTCTATAATTTACTTGTTATAAAATAAAGCCAATTGGCGTATAAGTATATAAATAAATAAATAAATAAATAAATAAATGAAGAGATAAAAATAAAAAATACCTGTAAGGTGTTTCACCAGTATGACAACGGGTGTGATTATCCAGATGCTCTTTCCTAGCAAAGCTCTTTCCGCAAACAGTACAATTGTAGGGCTTATCAGTAGCGTGGCGTTTCATATGGCGTTCGAGAGACGGTGCGTTCGCAAAAACGTGGAAGCAAACGGCACAGGTAAACATAGAGCCTCCAAGATGGCACTTGCCGTGACGAGTCAAGTCGTTTGCGTTTGAAAATGCTTTGCCACAAACTTGACACGTGAACGGCTTTCTTTCGGTATGGTAACGACGGTGAACTATCAGCTGATAGCGAAATTGGAAGATCTTCCCGCAGACCTCGCACGCGTGACTGCCCACGGAGACTGGGGAGGCGCTGGGTCCAGGTGTTGCCTCCCCATCGCTCTTGGTAATGTCAAATTTATTCAATTGCACTTGTTGTGCCAGCGGTGTACCATTCTGGATAGTGGTAACAGTTTGTGTCGGCACTGTACCGCCGACTAGAGTTGTTCCGGCAGCTATTTCACTTTGGAGCTTACCGAACACTTCGTGATAGGCCAGCAGTTGATTAATGTCTTCGACATTAACCTGCGCGACATAATAATTTTTTAATAATTTTCAGTATAAAGTAAAAGCTAGCTCCAATTATTAACACTTGCAATTTTATTTCAATAAAAAAAAAATTTTATTATAATTAATTAATAAATATAAGTTAATAAATACAAATAAACTTTGTAACTTTTTTATTTATATAGAAAAATAAATAAATATAATTTTTTAATTATAAACTTTAAGATAATTATTTTTTTGAGAACATTTAATTATTTTTAATTAGAATAAAATTGCAAGTGTCAAAAAACTAGGCCAGCGTCAATAACTTAGTCTTTTATTTTATATCTTAAAAAAAAAATTAAAAAAAAAATCATTGGCAATAATATAACTTACCTTGTACATATTTTGTACCATCTCAACATTAAGAGTTTTAGCAAGGTCTTGCTCATTACCCGCACTTATTTTGACTAATGATCCATCTGCCGTTCTAACATCCATCATATGGCTTCCAGCTTTTAAATCTGGTACTTGAAACCTTGAAACAAATAAATTAACATGATAAAATTGCTGCTCGGTACTTGATATTCATACTCATATCTCAGACTAAAAAATATTTACTGTGTCATATTAAGTTGTCGCAATTCTTTTTCCTTTTCTGGTTTCTCCGGATTATTTTGATTACCACTATCCGTCCCGGGATTCCCACTGATATTCACTCCAATCTGTTGCTGCTGCTGTTGTTGTTGTTGTTGTTGTTGTTGTTGTTGTTGTTGTTGTTGTTGTTGCTGCTGCTGCTGTTGTTGTTGCTGTTGTTGCTGCTGCTGCATCATACTCTGTTGTAAGTCTTGCGGTTGCTGAAGCTGAAGATCACATTGTACCTGACAGTGTACTTGGCTATCGCTGCAACGCTCGGTGGTACAACTGCCGCCTTCGTCCTTGATTTTGTCATCACGCTGGGCCGACTGATTCTGAGAGTTCTGTCCAGCGTTGGCCTGGTGATTCTGCATTTGATGGTGGGACTGCTGTTGTTGGGACTGATGCAACTGTTGCTGCTGCTGCTGGGATTGCATTTGCTGTTGCATCTGGGCGTGAGCCGCTTGGAGGTGGCTCGGGATGTGCGAACCGTCTAAGTTGAGACCAGGAAGAGAAACTGGAATCTAAAAAATCATTTTTTAATTAATAATTATTCACTACTTTAAATTTAGCCGGTAGCGAGTTAATTATTTAGTTAGCTTAGCGCTATAGTACCAGTGTTAGCATTTGTAGCAAAGATTATTGTTTTAATTTAAATAAAATACTTTGACAATAATTTAGACTAAGTATTAAATTTTAATCATTTTCTAATGAATTAACAAGTAAGCCTTTGTATTAAAATTTTTTTTTTAAGCCTTGTAGCTCAATAGCTTCCTTAATTTGTCCCAACATCTATATATAACTCAATATGCCCATATTTAATTTTTGGATAAAAGTTAGTTTGAAAAAATTCCGACAGGTGGCGCATGGTCGCTAAAATTTCTCGCTTGTAAAAAGTTAAAATCAAAGAATATAAATATAAAATAAAAATGATTTTTCTTTACTTCTTCAAGAAGCTTGTTTGTTAATAATTTTAAAGTTTTATCAATTTTTTTTCTAGATAAAAAACAATAATTGTTAATTATTCAAAGCATTGAAACATTTAATGTTTTAAAATAAAATACTATGTTAATTTAAAATATAAATCTAACAAATGCTAAATCTAACACTGAAAATGGTACAAAGAATTATTTATTTATTTAAATGAGGACATACCAAACGTATGTCATACTACGGTTATTTTTCTACAATTGTTAAGAGTTATTGTTTCACAAATTTCTGTAGTCTAGTCATGCAAATAACAGAGGGTCTTTTGTAGTATGACATACGTCCAACAGTAAATTTTATTATCTATTACTAAGTATTTTTTAAAGATCTACATAAATTCTACATAAAAAAATTTATCGTCTACTTTAGATGACAAAAAAAGAAACTAAGTTTGGCGGTGCAAGCAAAACTAGATACTAATAAATAAAAAGTAGCGTGCATCTACACCAACAAACCTGGGGGTTAGACTGCAGGGAAGAGTGGTGACCAGGAGCCACTCCAGATGAGTGATGATGATGAGACGTCTGGTGGTGGGCATTGGTAGCCAGTGCCATTTCCTGGGACAAAGTTCCTTCTTTTGCTGCTGGCCCGGAGCCGTTTCCAGGAGGACCAGGTCCTACGGCTCCGCTAGCTCCCCTGTGAGTGGAGTTGTGGTGGTGGTGGTACACCGAGACCTGGGGCAGTGATCCAGGAGGAAACAGATTCAGGAGCCAGAATTTTGCCGGAGAGGATAGCGAAGAGGCGGCTAACGCTACAGCTGTACCTACACGCAGGTCCGCTGACGAATGCGGGACTGTACTCCCTACATTCCCGACACTCGTGGCGGCAGCCAAGCCACCCGGATAAGAAGGGCGACTGCTTTGACCCGCGTTTACTTCCTACCAATATACATTCCAACATTTTTACAACATTTAGGTGGCATGCAGTGCGCATGCAACGGGCCAACCTCCAATCAACAAATGCGCAAACTTCCGGAGATTATTTACATTCTTTTTTTTTTTTCAGTTCATGTCAATTTGTTTGCTCTTTTCTCGCAACTCCTCCCAAAGAGTTGACATTGTTTGCTGGTACTTCAAAAGCTGGATCATTATTTTATTTCTCGAAATTTTTAGAGTGCAATTTAACTCAGTAATAGTAATTGTTTAATTAATTGATGACTCGCTAGATCAATTAATTAATTAAAAAAAAAAAAAAAGAATCTTCAGCAGTATAAAATTTAATTAACTACACACTGATTATAGAGTGAATAATTATTCAAAGTAGATGACATGTAAAACAGCTACAAAATCATTCACCTCTTGCAAAACATTTATAAAGTAAGCAGTCAACATTCACAGCTATGAAGAAATTAAACATTGCCTTGAGTATAATTTTAAATACTCAAGTACAAGCTAAAACTTTTTAACAGGCTAAAAAAAATTAAATAATTATTTAATAAATAATATAAATAATAAAAGGAAAACAGCGCATTTGTAGTTTGGAAGAGACTGCTAACGACAAAGTTTATTTCGAGTCCTTACCTCTTGCTGTGCCTGCGTGGTCGCTGGCAATGCATGCTGTTCGCTGTTCATCTTTGTTCAATAAAGACCCTGCATAAATCTCTTTTGATACTCGTCATTTTTCATCCTGCAATTAGCAAAACAAAAATAATAAATCAATTAAGCACACAGAGATAACAATTGTTGTCTTGCATAATAGTTCTCATTTAAATAGTAAGTCTAAACAAAATAATAAACTGCAATAAATCATAGCATGAGAATGATAAGAGTTCTTTTTTATTATACTAATTTTTTAAGCGGAGCTGTTTAACCTCAAAAGTATCAACACCGCTTTTTATTTAGATTTTAAAAAATTATTGAGGATAATTGATGACATTAGTTAGCAGTCACTTGACTATTTTTTTATTTTTTTTAATAAATAAATTTGCTCCAAAAAATTGGATTTTTTATTTTCTAATTTTTTTTAACATAATTTATGAACATTGTTATAACAACATCTAAAATTAAAAAAAATTTTTTTTATTAAAATTCACTTTTGAAAAACTTTAAAAACTATAAGTGCAATTTTTAAAAAATATTATTTAGTTCAAATTTAATCCACTCTTATAATTTAGATGAAAAATATGAAAATATATACATTGATGAAGACATTTTATTCGTAATGTGATTGGTCAAATATATCATAAGCATGAAAATATAGATAATTCCATACCAACATTCACACGCGCGCTTGCACGCGCAACGTATACTAGTCCCATAATAATTCCATAATATCCTAATATAAAATTGAGATGAAATGTATGTGGCATCAAACTATTCGTAACGTGATTGGTCAAATATATCATAAACATGAAAATATATGCAAACTCTATAGTCAAGGCGCGCGCTTGCGCGCGTAAATTTGAATTCTAGTTCTAGTAATTAAAAAATTAACAATGTCGGCTAATTTTGCTCTTATATGAAAATTAAGTTAGCCGACATTGAAAAATTTTTTTTATTGAAAAAATGATTACAAAAAAAATAAAAAAAAATATTCACTTGTAAAAACCTTTAAAAACTGTAAGTGCAATTTTTTAAAAATATTTTTTGGTTCTAATTTAAGTATTAAAAAAAAATCAAAACATTAAAAGAATGTCGGCTAACTTCAGTTTCATTACTATTATACATAATTTATTATTTAAAAAAATTCTAAAATATCTAAATAAATTTTCATGGATAATTGTAGTAATTACAACAACAATTCCAATTATAAATAAATACCGCCTCCAGAATTGGAGAGCGGGAGCGTGAGTCATCAGCAACCAGAAACCGAGCGAACGACAAAGACCAAAATTAAACAACAAATTAAATGCGAACTGGCTTTTAATCCAACATGACACTCCCGATAATTTATCAACATCCACAATATATTCATTCAATTACTATATAACTATAATTACAATTTAAATCATAAACACGCACTTTAAGTACACACACACACACACAAATACACACCAATAAACCCGTTGGTAATATCATATGATATTGTATCGCAAGGACACGCCTGTATTACATCCACCAGGAGTTATTGCTCGCACATATGACGCGTCAATTATTATATCGCGGCTCGTGGAACGAGGACAAGGGGCCAACAAGATGGACGGTTACCACAAATCGGACTAGCCCGCAAATCTCGTGATAAGTGATAAAAAATTAGTGTAAAAAATAAAACAAATAAAAATTGTTGACGTTTTTCTTGGACTAGACGCCTAGCCGTCCAATGTACATATATAAAATGTACCGTGATGTATATATTTATATTTATATCACTGAAGTTAGCAGACTAAAAATTTTTAATAAAATTACTAGTTTTTTACAAGTGAAATTTTTTTTTTTAATTGTTTAATTGAAATTTTTTCAATAAAAAATTTCTAAATGTCGGCTAACTTCATTTTCATTTATATTTATATATTTATACATCCGATTGTAGATTGAGGATTGTTAATTAAAATTCGTCACTCACGTGGTGCTCGTCGCCGCGGTTAGAGTCTACTCTACTCCCCGTGCTCCCGTCTGGTGTCTAGTCGGTCCATACACTCTTCACGCTTCACTCCTGACTCCAACAGCCGCTGTTTCTGGTGGTCATGCACTGAAACGAATACTAGATGATATTCAGCGAACTGAGTTAAGTGTCGAGTGTGTACACACGTACGAGCTCGACGGCGCGTCCCGACGCAAGAGGGGCAGAGGACGCGGCTAACTCTTTTTATATACATACATACATTTATTTCGTTCATACATATAGATATATAAATATATAAAATAATATCCCCTTCCTTGTTACTCCATTTTACTTTATAATAACATAATAATATGTACTATGTACTTGATCAATCTCTCCATCTTGCTCACAACCTGGTCTTGTTCTCGTTCTCTTACACTCTTACTCTTACTCTCACTCTTTCAACTCAATACTCTCGACGTCTCTCACCCGCCTTGGTATCCTACAAAACGTTAATCCAGCACAATAATGGCCACGCAACTGTTGCCTGTCTTCTCAATCACTCTTTATATTCTAATTATCTTCAAATATCTTTTGTTATTATTATTGTCATGCTAAGAATTATAATTACCAAATAAAATGATGATTTTAAATGCCCAAGGGCTCAAGTTTTTATTATTTTAAAGGAGCACACACCAATGAGTTTACTGAAAATACCACTACTGTCATGGCTGTCCCTCGCACTTCCCCGCTGACACTATTGGCCGGTTGCGCAGAGCACTCACTGATATCGATAAGCTTTATAGGATATTATAAATAATTTATTACACTTAAATTTGTTTTTTATAATGTTTAAAGAAGAATTTACACGGGAATTATTATTATTTTTAGTAATTTTTGGGTGCAATTTATTTTATTTGGGTTTTAATTATACGGAGAGGACAGTACGGCGGGAGAAGACGGGCGGGGACTGATGCGCGCGCCGCGGGAAGTTGCGGTTTTGATTAAACTAATTTTAGCGGCGCGGGAAAATTCAAATTTCAAAAATAAAATTGTAATAAAAATGATTAAAATTTTTTATATATATATATTATATATTTAGTGATGTTATCTATTTACAACAATTTGTACAGTCAGACTCGATAAAGTCTTAATTAATATAAGAGATATAATGTAATTCAGCAATACTATTTTGTTGAATTTCTTTAAATTCAACCAGTTTTTTTTTTAGCGACTGACATCGAAAATATGATATGTAAATTTAATAATAATAATTATTGTTTTAATTTGTTTTGATAACGCTGACTAGCGTAAATTGCAGATGCCGATATTATTTTACAATTATGTAATTATCAATAATGAGATAAGAGAAAATTTAAATACAATTTAATTGGTAATTTTAAAAACTCAGTCACAAGGTATGCGTCTTGGTATCAGGTGTCTAGATCTTCCGACAAAATATCACACAAAATTCATAATAAAAGAGTACAACACGGTAACAAGCTTGTAATTGTTTTATTAAAAAATTATGATACTAAAGTTAGCCGACGTTTTTAATTGTTTGATTATTTTTCATTTATTAAATTAGAGCTAAAAAATATTTTTAAAAAATTGCACTCATAGTTTTTCATGTTTTTTACAAATGAAAATTTTTTATTTTTTTGTAATAATTTTTTTAATGAAAAAAAATTTTTAAATCTCGGCCAACTTAATTTTCATAAAATTATGATACTAAAGTATGAAAATAAAATTAGCAGGCAGCTAATAACCATTTTCAGAATTTTTTTTATTAATAAAATTATTAAAAAAAAATTAAATGAAAAAATTGCACATGTAAAAAATTTGAAAAACTATACGTGCAATTTTTTAAAAATATTTTTTAGCTCTAATTTAATAAATAAATAAAATATAGTCAAAAAATTAAAAACGTCGGCTAACTTTAATAATGAAACTAAAATTACCCGGATTGCTAATTCAATTAAAAAAAAAAAAAAAAAAAAAATTTTTCGCGGCCGGGTAATTTTAGTTTCATTATTAAAGTTAGCCGACGTTTTTAATTTTTTGACTATATTTTATTTATTTATTAAATTAGAGCTAAAAAATATTTTTAAAAAATTGCACTCATAGTTTTTAATGTTTTTTACAAATGAAAATTTTGTTTTATTTTTTTTTAGTAAAAAAATTTTTTTTAATTTTTAGATGTCGGCTAACTTAAACTTTCATAAAAAATTTAATTATTTAAGATATTTGGTCGGAAGATCAAGAATCATGTAACCATGCGTCTTAAAAATAATTGTCTTTTTTTTTTTTTTAATATAAAATAATTTAAATAGAAATGCATCTTAAATTATAAATAATATAAACTCTAAAAAATAATTAACCTTAAATTAAATAAAAATAATAATAATAATTGGTATCATAATTCTGTGGTAATTTCATCTTGCGGTCTGAACCCGAGAATCGTGAAGTCGTCAATGAGGTAGTCCCTTCCAGGTGCCCAGTCATTCAATATCGTGTATTTAGTTGCTTCAATCGTGGTTTGAAACTCCCACTGGGGATTGAGATCACGATTGAGACCATTGCACTCCTCAGGACAAGATACACTGGCGCTTCCATCGCCGGGGATTCCCGTAGTCAAATTACCAGGCAGGTAGGTGTGATTAAACGCGGAGATCCCGAGCTCCTGGAAATTATTCGAATTGACTGAAGAGGACGTGCGTCTTTTTTGGGCCGTGTTGAAGACCAGGGGGGTAGTCTGGCCCACAGTCGACCCGGACGGACTCAGCTTGTCGTTGTAGACGATGCAGCTGTTCTGACCCAAGCTCGAGCCGATGGGACTGTCCTTGATGTACCCGAGGCTGGAGCTCGCGGGGCTTATGCTGGACTTGTCGCTGGCCTGGAAGGTCGTCAGCGGCGCGTTCGCCTGGAATGTCGTAAGGTTCGTCGGTGTTGATCTTAGCTCATACGCCTGCGATGATGCTTGAGTGATTGCTATCTGCTGGGGCGACGTCGGTGTCAGCTGACTCACTGGCCCCGGTTGCTGGAGAAATGTTACCAGTTGAGCCACCTACAATAATAACAAGTACTTATTCATCATTTCAATTTTTATTCTGTTGAAAGTACTATTGTATTTTATTTTCTATTTTATTCTAGTCATTGCTTTTCTTTTTTTTTTTTTTTTTTTCTACTGACTCAAGGATTAGATCACTGAGAGAAAATAAAATCTTAGACGGAAAATTATAGATCTTAACAATGGGATTTTATAACAAAAAATGGGTTCAAGTAATATGAGCTAAGCATGATGTAATATTTATGAAAAACGCCCTATGAATAGTAAAAAGTCATCGGGGTGTCGTGTTGAAACACTCACCAAACTGTCTGATCGACTGGCGTGCGAACAAGCGAACAAAGAAAATACGTGAGAGAGAAAGATTAACAATTATTATTATTATTATTATTATTATTATTATTATTTAGTAAACAGTGATGTGTAATATTAATAATTGTCTCGTAACCGGCAATAATCTGGTCGTTTACCTCTGGCGAAGTATGTTTCTTGTAACGTCTCAGTAAACGTTCGGCCCATGCCAGCAGCCGCTGCCAATCCTCCGGTGGCAAGTATATATCCTCGTCTTTTCTGTTCACGAGAACTAGGATTCTCGCGAGGTCACGGAGTACGGGTCTAAAAAAAAAATAATTTTCATAATTATATTTGTTCTCAATATCTAATGTAATATTGTGTGATGATAACGAGGATTTAATGAGCTTTGGTAAAAATAATCTGTTGTACCTGTAAGCTTGTACACCGACAGCACCGTCGCCATTACTTCCAGAGTAATACAATTCTCGTACTTGTCTCCTCGTGTCGTTGAGCATCGCAAGAAAAGTGTTGGCTTCTCCTCTCAATGTAGCCAGATGCTTGAGAAATTCTCGCCTCTCGGCGCTGAAAAAAGGCTCGCTAAATAAAACTGGTTCATCAACTCACTCGTTAACAACAAATAAACAATCTTTTCTGTGTTGCTTTAATTTCAGGGTGGTCATTTAGAAGTTTTTTTGCTATTTTATCTTTTCCGGTGTTATTTGTTACACTTTCCCTCAGTTAAATCTTTTGTTGTAATTTAATCTTGTATTAAACTCAGAAACAAAAAAAAATTTAATTATTTTTAATAATAAATTTTAAATTACCTTTTACTTTGTGAAATATTGACATTTTTTAAAATATAAGCTCATCCCGATGTTATACTCATCGAGACCTTTCATTTGAGTACCCACATCAATTTATCATATATTTTATATATGTATATATGAAAAATATATGAAAATGCATGTGGGTACTCAAATGAAAGCTCTTGATGAGTGTAAGTAACATCAGGATGAGCTTACATCTTTAAAAATGTCATTATTTAAGAAAGTACAGAGCAATTTAACAACGGTCATTGTTTAATAAAGCAAAATTTTAATTTTTTATATTAATTAAATTTTTTATTTAAAAATTTTAAAGTTAAAAATATTATTTTTATTATTAATAGTTAATTTTCTTATAAAAAAAATTTCAAGATTAAAAATATTATTTTTTCTTTCAAGACATAATTAAATACCAATTAAAATTCCTTGATAATTCCCGATAATCTCATTTTATTGCCACCCTGAATAAATGTGCAAATGAAAATTATAAAAATACCTATCCTCGTATTGCCGCATTAATTTAGCGGCCTTCTTCTTGCGACGATGAAGAACAATTGCACCGCAAAGGATAATAAATATACAAATAGTCGCCCCGGAAATAATTCCAACGAGGATAGCGACTTGACTGCCGGTTAATCCAAACATATAGCCAGTCTCTCGGCATATTCGTCCCATATATTCATCCCGGGTAGATCGGTCAGCAATGTGACCTGGAGGACAACTGTCTACGCAGTTTCCCCGGTGAAGTAGACCTGCACACCTCGTACAAAAATTCCCTCGGCACCGCAGACAGCCTTCCTCGGACTCGACACATTCTGAAACAATTTCACTGTCATTAATTAACAATAAAATACACCATTTATTTATTACTTAAATTACGCAAAAATTTGTAAAAAAAAATGACCCAGTAAATTTTAATGTCACAGGAAGTATTAAAATTCTTGCTAAAGAATTCCACTTTTTATTTTTTTAGGTGAAATTATTTAAAGTCTAAATAAAGCAGAGCAATTTACGATTGATCAACGGTATCAAAGCGGGAAATTCATTCAGGAGATAACAGCGGACCTCCAGTTGAGTTTTTAATGAGTAAAAAACTCGCAGAGCAACTTTTGTTATTAAAATATCACTCCTGGTGTTTAACATAAAAAATGGTACAGATTTAATCACCTCACTCTTAATAGACATAAATAAATATAAATTATAATTAAGTATAATAGCTAATTAAAACTTAGAACATTTGCATGCTGGCTTTACACAGTAGTCAATATTCATAAAATAAAATTAGAGATAATAAAATAAAAAAAATATTGATATGAGCATTGGTAAATTTAAAGAGCGTGAAAGTTTGGCAATAAAAATAACAAATTTAATGTGTACATAAATGAAAATTAGCAATATAAAAGTAGGATGTAGTAGTATAATTATTAGCAGAGGTATTAAAGTACGTAAAAATTAAAACATACAAGTAAGGGTCCAATGACCGGTACGAACCGACTACGAGTCAGTACAGGACTCAGGGGAGCTCTACCGCGACCGGGGATTATAAAGTTGCGTGCTCGCTCGAGCCTAGCAAAGTTCATGCCGGCGCGTGCAAACCACTATGAACGCTATTAAATATACCTACATACATCCAACCGAGTGTATGTAAGAGTATAAATAAATAAATACACTTGTATGTAATATTTATTTCTTTACATCACATTTTAAATAATTTGAAAGCTGCCAGATCCCTTTCATATCTCTTTATACCTTTCCATTAAATTTAATCCTTCGATCAATCTGTCTACTTGCTATTAATTTTAATCCAACATTTTTATTTAGTATTATGAATTGTTTGTCAAGTTTCAAGTGTAATAGACTCGTTAAACTTTTATTTTTAGCTGTTATATCATTTATCTTGATAAAAAGTTTTAGATTATAAAATGGAAACTTTAATTTAATTTAATAATAAATTTTTAATTAAATTCTGAGAAACAATTTATTCACGGTGTCAATTTTAATATAATTTATTTTTTTGTTGATTTTAAAATTGAATTTTTAACAAAGATCATTTTCTGTTTAATTCAACATTAAATTTTATCGCTTTCTTTGATCTGCCGCATTCAAGTTCTGTTTTATGCTTCACTTCTTCAAAGAATTTCAATAAAACATTTTAATCTTTAAAATTCTAGCAAGAAAAGTTAAAAGTAAAATTTTCCATTAAAAATAAAAGTAAAGAGAGTTTATCAGACTTTTAGTTACAAAATAAGATATATAGATCCAGAAGTGCAAGAGTAATGAACGACTTATATATAATAGTTCTTCTAAAGTTCTTGTCTTAACTTCTAGCTTCTAGCTCTCTTCAGTCTCTTCAGTTCCATTCTTGTCTCATTTACTCTTCTATTTTCATCTACTGCTCTTATCTTTCGTCCTTCCTCTTTTATCTACCCACTTCTCACAAACTACAACGGAACAATGTATAAAGCATATACTGTATAATATGGTGTAAGCTAAAGTTGAGGAACCCATTCAGTCTCTTTACTTGTCTTTATCCAAGTACTGTGTCCGTACGGAGGAATGCGGCTGCCAGTTTCTCGATTATGTGGGTCTCGTAAATAAAACTTCAAGTTTCCATTCTCCAGGTTGAGAACACCAGTCTTCCTTTTTGTTTTTCATCACCGAATATCACCATTGTCATCATGTAGTAACTCTTATCCACTGGGACCATTTACTGATTTGTCCCCCTTCTGCTTCAGCAAACCTACATTTTATAAAAAATAGGTTAAATATATTAGAACTGTATTTCTTCATGAAAAATATTAAAATTTAACATTACATACATTTTTTATAAAATTTATTTAAATATTATTTTTTATAATACTGAAATCAGCTGATATATATTTTTTAGCAATTAATTACTATGAAAAAAAAAATTCTACTTGTGAAAATTAAATGATAATTAATTTAGCAGATATTTGATGATTTTCAGAATTTTTGTAACAAATAAATAATAACTAAAAAATTATAAAAAAAATTGACAAGCAGAAATTAAAAATTTAATTTTTTTTAAGAAATTTGTTTGTTAAAATTGCCAAGTAACAGCTAAGTAAATTTAATGTCATAAAATTGAAAAAAAATTAATTCAAATTTTTTAAAACATTCGTTTTTTTAATATTAATAAAGTTAGCCGACATTTTTGATTTTTTTATTTTACTTAATTTATTAAATTATAACTTTATAGTTTTTGAAGTTTTTAACAAATAAAAAAAATTTTTTTGTAATAATTTTTTAATAAAAAAAATCATTAAAATTTTCAGAAGTCGTCTAACTTTATTTTCATTTTTTTTTTATAAAAATTAAAAAAATTGACAGCTGTCAGATAACTACAGTATCATCAAAACAATAACAATAATAAAAATACTTACCAAAATTTCTCCAAATAATTTTTTTTAATTTTTACAAGTGAAATTTTTTTATAAAATTAAAAAAAAAATTTCTAATGTTTGTCAACTTGTGTCATTATTTTTCATACTTTTGTTATTAATTTTAAACTAAGATGTCAGAAGAACAATTCACTTTAAAATGTCAACCAGCCGCCATCTTGAATTATTATTTTCACTTCAAATTTTTTAAAATAAATTTTTGGTGAACTTTTAAGTGATAATAAGTGTAAATAACTTTTATTAAAATATTTAAGGTGGTAAAATAATTATTCAATTCAATTTTTTTTTTTTAATTAAAACTCATTTTATTATTGTAATTCACTAACAAAAATTGCAGATAACCGTTAAACGTCAAAAAACCCTGGAACTGTCAGAATGCAGAGGGCGCCACTCAAGAATGCCATAATAAAATTCATGAAATGCCATTAATACAAACGATACGACATATCAGATAGAGATATCTGGGTCAGTGCGTCATTCGCAGATCTTAGATTGAATTATTAAAAACTAGATTTGATAATATAATAATAAGTATAATGATTAATTGATGAGTAGTCCCGTTGATCGCGTGGTGATTGAAAGAGACATTGAGAAAGTCAAGGCTGAACAAGTAGTGCCGTAAAGCTGTCATCGTATATATAAGGCATCAGGCATCACACGGTAACGTTGGACGACAGTAAACCCGTTAAAGCGATTTATAATAATACCAGTTGGTTTATTTTATCCATACTTATAATCCGTCTGTGTACTATTTCAGCTGTAATTATCAACCTACTGTATACAAATACATATACAGTGTTAGGTGAGTATTTATGCTGAACTCAAGCTATAAAGAGTTGATATTTAAAACGACAACTTTTCTCGTCGCTTAATTCGCGATAGCGATAACGTTAATGCTTATGATGTAGAAAGTTTTTACCAGATTAAAAATATGTCATTTAAATCTACACACACTATTAAACAGCAACGGGATTTTCCATGTCGTTAAATGGTTCAAGAAAACAGATAATCTTTGTGTTTATACAAATGTAGTCCTGTCATTACTGTTATATACATACTCTACGGTTTAAATAAATAGAATCAACACGACATCCATCCATTATATATTTATTTATTAAAATTTTAATATTAAGACAAGATTACAGTTAATTTATCATAAAAATTAAGTTATCTAAAAATTTATAAAAGTTTTTTTATTGAAAAAGTATTACAAAAAAATTTTTTTAAATTTACATCTGTAAAAAACTTTAAAAACTATAAGTGCAATTTTTTAAAATATTAATTAGTTTCAATTTAATAATTAAAAACGTCGGCTAACTTTAGTATTATTAATTTATCTAAACAAAAATTAATTTAGCATTTTATATAATTTTTGAAAAAAATAATTTATGACAAAAATAATTGGCATGTAGAAATTTGAAAAAATTAAGAGTGCAATTTTTTAAAAATAATTTTTTGGTACAAATTTGTTTGTTAAATAAAATAAAAAATGAGTGACATTCAAGTTGACAATTTTTTAATTTTATTTAACAAAAAGATTGGTTTAAAAAATTGTATTTTTTTAATTTTTACATGTCAATTTTTTTTGGCCATAATTTATTTGTTAAAAATATTCTTAAAATTATCAAATATCTGCTCAATTAATTTTAATAAAAAAATTAAATAAAATTAGCAGTCACTTGACAATTTTTTAATTTGTTTAATTTTAACGTCAATTTTTTGGCCATAATTTACTTGTTAAAAAAAATTTTTTTAAAATTATCAAAAATCTTCTAAATTAAATTTCTAGATGTCAATTTTTTTTTTTGCCATAATTTTTTATAAAATTATTAAATATATACTACATTAATTTTCATTAAAAATGGTCAAATGACTGCTAAATTTAATGTTACAACTTTTAATGCAAGATATTGGTAAATATCCAAGATATCTTTCATATTTAAATACATAATTTTTTTATAGATATATTTAACAAAAGTTTCGCAAGTTAGGTTGGTGAAATTTTGAAAATAGGCCAGGTAATCGTGATAGATTGGATGATTTTAGTTACAGTTATGTCTGGGAAGTTAATAGCAGGGGCCTATTTTCTGGAGCTGGTATTATTGGTTCAGGTAAATAAGATTTAATATTGATATAAATTATAAACAAAAGTAGTTGGTTATCTGAGTTAAATGTTGGTGGCTTTGTGCTTTGTGTATTGTTGTTGTTGGTGAGCTATAAACTTGCCTCGAGACACGTATGTAATATAACAAACAAGCTATTACTCTTGATCATCTCTATCCATCTCTTCTTATCTGGGAACTTTAATCTTTCCAGGCTAAATATTTCACGAGTAGAGCTAGTATGTATAAATATAAACACATATATATATATATATATTTATATATTGTACAAAGTGTAAGTATAGTTGTCAGAATCGAGGGAGTTAAATTGTTTCATTTTATTTTGAATTGTAACTCATTCTATTGTCCAGTTTATGGCAAAAACTAATCAGTGCAATTTTTTTTTTTGATAATAATAATTTTTAAAATTATTATTATTAATATTGCGCTAAAAAATTCAGATATTGATTTATATGATTAACAAAATATGTATATATTTATTTATGAAGTATCAGTAATTTTTATTTTTTCAACTGGACACATTATAATTAAGATAAGACTTAATAAAGTATAATTACATAATCAAAATATCGTCAATCAGATTTACAACAGCGAAAATAAAAAGAAACGAGTTTACCTCGAGGAAACCAGTTGTTACTGTAATTTTAAACACAAAAAAATAACCATATAGTTAAATAATAAAATAATGACTATAAATTAGTCAACAACAAAAAAATCCACGACCTTGCCTATACGAGATCGATGTAAAATATTCTGAAAACAAGCAACGGGATCTGTAGTATAGTATTTGTATTTGGGAGCATCCGAGATAAGCCATCAGGAAAAAAACATAATCCGGCGTGGCAAGGAAGAGAAAATCCATGTGATAACGAAGTAGCTTTTAAATGAAAGAGTAGAGGATAGAGGATAAGAAGTATAAGCAAAGGAAGTTTTTAACTAAAACGGGTCGTCGAAAAATTAACGAGCGGAATTGGTAGGCGGAGCGTATGCCAGGCAGATGCTCAAGCATTATTCAACTATATATGTATATCTTTCCATACATATACACAAACAGAGGACAAGACTCCCGCATCGTCTTTCAAAAGTGCATAGCGTGCATTATTATTCATCCTTCTTTTTGAATCCTTTGTCTCCTTATTTTGGTTACACTTTTTTGTATTATGTTCCTGTACCGTTCGTCGCATATGTCGGATATTTCGACAATAAGGCCAATCGATCACTCTGAAAAATTTAATATAGTCTATTTTATTGAGAGAATAAGAAAAATTTTGTTCCCAGGAAAGTCATATGATAAAATCGGTTTTTTTAGAGTCATTGCAAAAGTTTTGATTTGAATTTGTCCCTTTTTAAGGTTTTATATCATTCTCATAGATTACTATGATAAGTATTAGGCTGCATTAAAAAATGCTCTATTTCTAGATACATAATTAAGAAATGAGCTTGTATCTTGTATATACGATTTATATAAATATATGAAAAGTGCATGTGGGTACTCAAATGAAAGATCTTAATGAGTGTAACATCAGGATGAGGTTATATCTTTAAAAATGTGAATAGTTAAGAATGTATAGTGCAATTTAACATAATTAAGAAATGACCTTGTATCTTGTGAACTATTGACATTTTTAAAGATATAAGCTCATCCTGATATTACACTCATCGAGACCTTTCATTTGAGTACCCACATCAATTTTTCATATATTTTATATATTTATATATATCATATATATATGTATATATGAAAAATATATGAAAAGTGCATGTAGGTACTCAAATGAAAGCTCTTAATGAGTGTAACATCAAGATGAGCTTATATCTTTAAAAAGATCAATAGTTAAGAAAGTACAGTGCAATTTAACAAAATTCATTATTTAAGGCAGTCACATTAGTGACTCAAAGTTTCTAGTAATATTAATATCAAATATAATACCTGGGGTTGAATTATATTAATTCGAATAAAGAAGGTCAATAAAAATTGGGTGTATCGGATAGTATAACAAAATATAGTGACTTGCTGAAAGAGAAATAAGGTTTCAATTTCCATTTTAGGGGATCGGGTGTGGTCGTCAGCCTTTGGATTACTCAGCTTTAATTTAATTTTAATGTAATTTATTTAAGTTAAACTT